GTTGAAGTTAAATGAAACGTTCAACCCAATTTAATAAGTTTAAGTTAATAATTAAATAATTTACAAAAAGTAATTGGGCTAGGGGTTGGCCTAGCCCATTTGAAGCTGACCTACTTTGGAATAGCTGAATTTTGAGTTAGGTTATGATGTGTCAAAATTAAAATGAGTTAAAAATTTTCAAACTTGTAGTCCATATGTTTAAACTAGCTAAACGGAATGACTCTTGAGGTTAGAATAATCTTCACAGCTCTAGGTGAACGAGATATATTATTAAAAATCTGGTATTGATAAGGAAAAAAAATCTGTAAATTTAATGACTCAAGTTTTTCAATTAAAGATGTGTTATTCTCACTAGTGATGGGATCTTTGTAACCAAACCACATATAAATAGGGCTTATAGTAAACTTTAAAACTACTCCAACTTCTCAATCAATCTACTAGCCATTTCAATCTATATATATAATCATCTTAACTTTCTTCATCACCTTGTTCAACTCTAAGATTTACATCACGCAAATGATGAATACAACTACAGCCCAAGTGTCCATACTTGCATTAATCATGTTCTCTACATTCTTCATGAATTTGCAAGCTCGTGATCTCCAAGGCCATCCATTATTCGTTCACAAAAATGTTGATGACATGAAAAGCCTTCCCCATAAATCGGGTATAAACTTATCAAAGAAGCATTTGCAAATTCGAGTTCAAAGTGTTCCACTGGCACCAGGAGATAGACTCTCACCGGGAGGGCCAGATCCTCAACATAATGCAAATGCACCACACAAGCCATAGCTTGTGTTTGGAGGATCATCATGGCTACGCATGCACACCTTCTTTGGGTTATTTATGCAATGAACTTAAGGCTACAGTGGTGTGAGACTAATCATCAGGTGCATGTGCTTAGTTTAGTAGTGGTACCTTCTCCTCCTTAAGTTTGTAAAATTCATAGTATTTTCAAATAAAACCCTACATGATTGAAAAACTGTGTGTTCGAGAGCGTATATGTAGGTGATGTGTGGTGGATCATCATTTGTTTCTGTTATTTTAATTTGTCAGCGGTGACATACCACTCTGGTTTGTCTTTAAATTTTTTCTCTGTTTTTTTATTTCTGTAATTTTCTTTATAGGATGTGTTTTCAGAAGATGACTGAAGAGGAGCTAGGTCTTTTTTCCTTGTAATTTAATTTTAGTCATAAAAATAATACATATTTTTCCTTAGTTATATATTATAGTTTATCTTTTAATTTTTTTTTATCGCCAATCAATTGTAAAAAAAAAAAAAAAAAGAGCTCTTATGTGAAAGCAGATAAATAGTTTTATACGTAACACTAATTATTATTATTACTAGTGTTTAAACTCTTCGCTTATTTTTTTTTCCTTCTTCTCTTGAAGGCAAAATTCTGTAGAAGGCAAACTTGAATTTCTTTCCAAATAACAATTATAAATGACCAGAAAACTTGAATTTATTTTGGACTTTTGATAATAAAAGCGGTAAATTAGTATCCTTATCCAAATTATCATACATAGGGATAGTGTGGAGTCAGTTTAATTATCAGTGAGCATTTCTTATAGCATGGTGAATGAGTTTTGGAGAAAAATGCAAAGGCATGATATTGTGTTTGGTTTGCCACTGATTGGATGTTATGGTTACGTAGAAACAACGTTATTTTTAAAATGGAAAGTCTTTGCCTAGATATTTTATTTGAATTCACTAAATATCTTAGTATTGACTTGAATTGCTGCTGATTTTCATGATTGGGAGAAGAAACATTGATTCTGTTTAAAATCTGTGTAAGGTGAAATCTATGTGTAAAAGGATTGGATTACACATTTTATTATATTTTGATTAAAGTTTACATGCTAATAAAAAAATTGAGATAGTGTGATAAAGGAAAGAAGTGCTGAAACATAGTACGTGTGCCAAACTTCACCAAAAGTAGACATATTTGTCACACTAAAAATATTACTTTTCGCATACATATCAATAACAACGATAAATAATTTAGCTTCTTCTTTTCCAGGCTAATTTCTGCAAAAAAAATAAATCCATGTCACTAATTTTCATAATTAAGGATTAAATTAACGTAACATATGTTTTAAGAAGTAAATTAATGTCTACATAACCTTCTAAGAAAAATATAAAGGGTTGTTTAGTTTCAGAAAATATTTTATATTTTGTTGGTGCCAACTGTATTTTACATATATACATATTTAAGAATAAAATGACAATTTTATGATTAAAAATAAAAAAACATAAAATACATATTTTTTAAAATTAAGCACTCTCTCTAAATAGTTCTATATCATTTGAATAGTTCAAAAAGTTAGAAAAGATTCGTTAGTAAAGAATAAATTTAATAATGAATTCTAATAAAATAATAAAATTTCTTAGTTTTTATAATTTCTTCTCTCCATAAAAAAATCAGAGCATAATATATAAAGAGTATACAGTACCATGACCAAATACCCATTACGTTGATTTGAAGCATATATGGAGAATATATGAAGATTTTGTCTAAATAGTTTTAAAACATTTATGGGTTACTTTGGATACCTTTGATGCTAACCAAAAGACATAGGTCATCTTTATGGGTATATAGTGTAAGTGAGGGTTAGGGATCGTCGTGCAACTCACTTGCTTTCCCACTAATTAAAACAACAAATTCAAAAGAAAATTTAGCTTCTGTTGGCCAAAAGTTCATAGCTACAGTTGCTTGCATGCAGTGGTGGAACATCATAGAGATGATGATGATAGCTGCCAAAATAAAAATTAAGTTTTCCAATCGATGCGTGTTCAAAATATACGAGTATTTATTAAAAACTATAATCTTTAATATTATTAATATGTTAAATTGTGTGATATCGTGTACTTTTTAATAAAAATTTATTATATAAAAATTATTATAAATTATTTTTAAGCACACGAGCTAAAGTCAAATAAAAATAGTAAATTTAAATAGTCCATATATATATTAGTATGTGTCGAAATTGAGCAGTGACACGAAAATCGCCCTAAAATATTTTGATGAACTTTCTATTGCTAAATCATACAGAGAAATTTAGTGATGATATGATTCATTTCTGATATGGAAGCTATAAAATATTGTGGCTTCAAAGCATTTATACATTGCTCAGAGCATGTCAAGGGTTACACAATCTATTATTGTTTTATTCCATAACGGCTTCAAATTCAAGAGAGCCACAAAGATTAACATTTACCATATATATGCTTTTTAAAACATTAAACTTAAGCTGAAAATGATGTCAAACTCTTGCCCCACTAGAAACTCATGTGCTTGTTTCGAGGCAAAATTTGCAGTCAAAATCGCCATTGAAGAAAAGGCAAACACTATTATAAATCAGTTTTATGTGGCTTTGCTTAACAAAAACAAGACCAAAATCATTTAACTGTACCTTTTGTGTTTGGATCAGATATTTTAAATTTTTTATTTATATATTTATTTTTAAGAATTTAAAATTTTTAATCATAAAATATTACAAATTTTAAATTATACTAAAATTGTAAGTTGCAAATCTTCTTCTCTCTCTCTCTTTCATGCTAGGCACATGCATCTTTCTCTCGTGGTTAAATTTAAGATTTTATCTTTCTCATTCTTCTTCCATGCTCATTCCTCTACCACTTTTTTTTTAAGTTGTTCAGATCATTTACATACACATAAGTTGAAATTAATTTTAAACGATTTCCAAAAAAATCATGTAAATAAAACAATATAATGTCTAACTATTCAACAAACCTTTTATTTAATGAAAATGAGGAAATTTGATTCTTTCATGCAAACAATATATTTTAAAACGAAGAACATTTATTTACTCTATTCAAATAAAAACTTTTAAAATAATAAAAATTTAAATTATAAATTCTTTAAAATTTTAAACTCTTTAAAATTTTTAATTACCACCTTTGCCTTTCTTTGTCTCCACCTCTCAGTCAATTATCTGGCATCCTAGAATATGTTATTACTTATTACAATGTCAGGTTTTGGATCTGACTGGGATAAAAAAACAAAACTTTGGTTATATGTACAGATTGTTGCGAACATGCATATACCCGTGCTTGACTGTAATAGTGGAGATTGCGTTTGAATTGTGAAGGCACCTCTTAAATCCCTTGCTGAGTTGCTTTTAGTTTGTATGTTCCTAATACGGAGAAGACAATTCACACTTTAATTTGTTGGTGTTGATCGATGGTTTATTAATTACTGATATTAGAGAAAGAATTGATTTATTAATTATAACTAATTAACAAAGAAAAATGTATAATTAGAATTACAAACGATCCGACTTAAGATATTAGAAGAATAATGTAATGGACGCAATGATGCTTATATCACGATTCACGACTTTTTCATAACTTTTATCATTTAAGTAAAGCATATTATTCATCTAGCCATTGTAACAACTGCATACTCAAGTAATGTGAAGAGCTGTATTCTACCTTCTTTTTCGAGCATTATTCTTTATACAATTAGAGTAATGATAATATCGCAAATCACAAAGTAATATATATATATTTATGTGTGTGCGTGTGAGAGCGAGAGAGAGAAACGTTCTCAACTAGTTCGCGGTTAATTATTTTACTCATTGCAAAGTTAAGAAAATCATCGCCTAATTTTGTTTGTGATGTTCTATGTTGAAAAGTGCGTCATGGTTGATTTCTAGACCACCAGAACATCTTTAGGCTCTTGCAATGGAATTTGCGTGTTGGCTTAACAAGTTGGCTCAACAAGTTTGTATCAATGGGTACTGTAAAATAACCACTCAATAAAATATTGGGGGACATGATACATTTATTCTCGTAATCAATAAAAACTCAGAGTACTAGACCTACATATTTGTACTACTTTATTGAATCGCAGAAAAACATTCTTATTTTTCTACTAGTCCATAAAATATGGAACCACAAAAAGATGTTCTTAGTACTTATTGCATGATATACATTTCCATAGAAACAACTTTATTATAAACATCTATGCAACTCACTAATCACGTTTTAAGTTTCCTTGTTTCCCATGATCGTACTCATGTGATCTTGACTCTAATTCACCCTCTCCAGCAACAATCACTCTAGTTGTCTCTGCGATTTCTGCTATGGTTTCACCTATAGCATTCAACATCCCTCCCCCTTTTCCCTCTTCACCTTGCTGATGCACTTTCTGCGCTGGTTTCGCCATGTTTTCTCCAATCTCAACCACAGTTTCACCTACAGCTCCCAACACCTCCCTCCCTCCCTCAGTGGCTTTATCCAATGGCTTCTTCATTGTTTGTGCAACATTGCCTAATCTTTCACCAATGCTTGTCCTTGCCTCACTTTCCTCTTGCAAACCTCGTGGTTCTATCCTTTCCTCAAAGCTTTTCCCTGTGATGTTTTTAAACGGTTTCTGTTCCCTTTCTGTCATTGTCTCTCTTCCCTTTTTTCCTTCTGGACCTTGCACTTGGCCTAACCCACCTTCCATTCTTCTCACTTGAGGTTGTTCTAGCTGTCCCTGAAAGTTACTTGCAGCAAAGAGTTAAATAAAATGATATACCACATTTTCCCTACCTATTAAGTTATAGCAGACACTATGAACTCACTTAATTCAAGAACTATGTCCAAGCCTTTGAAGTAACCCCCTTGACTCACTGTTTTCTCTTTTTAACAATTTAAATGGAAATTCATTACTCTCAACTAAAATTTAAGAAGTGTCAAATAAAAATAATAAAGGGAAACAATAATTCCAACAGTTGAAAAAATCATGTTGGTTCAATCAGTTTCAAGAGCCACAACTCACATAGTTGAAAAATAATAAAGGGCAACAATAATTCCAATAGTAGAAAAAAAAATCATGTTTCAACAGTTTCATGAGTCATAACTCACAACAAAACACACACGCACACACACATAGCTGTCAATTATAGACCAGTCTTGTAAGTATATATACATATAAATAAAATGAGTCATTGGTAGAAATAAACACCTGATTTTGAGCTACTCTTTTGGCCTCCACATCCCTTTCTGCCTCCTCTTTCTTCCTTGCAGTGTACTCCTTAGCTGTGTCACCAGCTGCAGCAGCTAAACCTTTAGCAGTATCCACCGACATGGCTGCAAGCTCAGAAGCCTTCTGGCCTGCATACTGGGCTACTCCCTTAACAACATTGGTTGCAGCCTTGGTTCCTTCCACAGTCATCTCAGTAGAATAGTGTGCAGCACTCCATCCTGCCACTGTAGCTTTGTCCTTCAAATCCTCAGCCATTTTGGCAGCACTCTTGCCAGTTTCCACAGTAGCATCTTTGGCTTGCATTGCTTTTTCTCCATCATACTGAGCAGTGGTGTCACCAGCAGACTTGTCCTTCCCAGTAACTGTGTCCTTTGCTTCATCATATCCCTTCTGAACGTTCTCTTTTGCCTCATCTTTTGCTCCAACATAGCCTTGTTGACCCTTCTCTATTGTGACATCTTTTGCCTGTGCTGCCTTCTCCTTTGCCTGCATGTTTTGATCTTTTGCAGTTTGAGTTGCTCTATTTAGTGCCTCACTTGTTGCTTTTTTTTCTCTTTCTCTATCCTTAGCCTTTTGTTGAGTTTCAGCTCTATTTTGTGCCTCACTTGCTGCTTGATTTTCTCTCTCTCTCTCCTTAGCCTTTTGTCGAGTTTCAGCTCTATTTTGTGCCCCTCTCTCCATTGCCTCTTGTCGAGTTTCAGCTATATTTTGTGCCCCTCTCTCCATTGCCTCTTGTTGAGCTTCAGCTCTATGTTGTGCCTCACTTGCTGCTTGATTTTCTCTCTCTCTTTCCATAGCCTTTTGTTGAGTTTCAGCTCTATTTTGTGCCTCTCTCTCTTTAGCCTTTTGTTGAGTTTCAGATTGTTTTTCTCTCTCTCTCTCCTTAGCCTTTTGTTGGGTTTCAGCTCTATTTTGTGCCTCACTTGCTCCTTGATTTTTTCTCTCTCTCTCCTTAGCCTTTTGTTGAGTTTCAGCTCTGTTTTGTGTCTCTCTCTCTTTAGCCTTCGGTTGAGTTTCAGCTTGTTTTTCTCTCTCTCTCTCCTTAGCCTTTTGTTGAGTTTCAGCTCTATTTTGTGCTGCTGCTTGATTTTCTCTCTCTCTCTCTTTATCCTTTTGTTGAGTTTCAGCTCTATTTTGTGCCTCTCTTTCCTTAGCCTTTTGTTGAGTTTCATCTCTATTTTGTGCCTCACTTGCTGCTTGTTTTTCTCTCTCTCTCTCCTTAACTTTTTGTTGAGCTTCAGCTCTGCACTTGGAGATCTCGTCGAAGCTAGGTTGTTCATTCTCTTCTCCTTTCTCTCTTCCTCTTCCTTGTTCCTGGCCACCAACCTATCATAAACAAACAATCTCAGAAGCTTAATATTGTAGGTGAAGACACCTATAGTATCACTACAATTTTATGTAACTTTTATTAAAAAAGAAAATGACCTTTTTAAGTGCTTGTTTTTCTCTCTCGTATCTCTCTTGAGCATGTGCAATTGCATCCATTGATTTTTGTTGAGCCTCAGCTCTGTACTTGGAAATCTCTTCCAAGCTAGGTTGTTTATTCTCTTCTCTTGGTCCTGATCCTTCTCTTTGATCTCTTCCTTTTCCTTTACCACCATCCTATCATAACCCAACAATCTAAAAAGCTTAAAATTTTAAGTGAAGACACTTTACATTACTATAATTTCATATTATTTTTTTAGCATGCCTCCTTTATGTTTGGAGAAAGAAAAATCCAACTTTAAACTTTAGACTATATATGTCTTTAGACTACTATGTCATAGAGGCTCAATTAGCATATAAAGAATATTAGAGTTTGATTTTTTACCTCTTTGGTTTGACCTTTGGTTTCAGCTTTTTCTCTTGCTTTAGCCTCCTCTCTTGTTTCCCCCAGTGTTATCGGTTTCTCTGCCACTACTTGCCCTCTTGGACCGCTTCTTTGTTTCTCCCCTTTGTTCTCTCTTCCTACTACCTCTCTTGTTCTTTCCTCCAGTTTTTGTTCTTCCCCCGAACCCTTCTCTCCAACTTTCAATTCAAACTTCCCCACCTGATGAACACCGCCACCTTCCCTTTCTCTTCTTCTTTCTTCACCCTCTTTGTCTTTCACTATATTCGCAGACCTGGCTCTATCAGAGAACAACTCTCTCTCTTTCTCCTTCTCATCACTCTTTTTTTCATCAGCAATGTGTTTCTCAAGGTTATCTTCTCTGCGAGGCATTTGCTCAGAAGCCATTGTGATGTTTCGTTTTCTTGAAAACAAAGGCACTACTTTCTTTTATGGAATTTGTTTTTGCTTTGTGTGGAGTTGAGTTAAGACACGAGTGTGAGAGTGTGTTATTTAAAAGAAGGGGGGTTGTGTCGGTTTGAAGAGGTGGTGATGGATGAGGTTTGCATGGGGAAGGACATGTGTGTGAAGTGTTGGAACCAGTTACATGACTCAGCTTAAGCATGCACGGGACATGAGGCATGTGTTAATGTTATTGTTATCTTAGGTCAAACATATAGGTTGAGGTGCTTAGGTTTAAGACACGTGTACACTTAGAAGAGTGTCCCACTACACTGGATGACACGTGGCTCGTTTATTGGCAATGGCCTGTGTTGTTCCTACTACTTCTTCGGCAATGGTTACTCTTTCTCAACACATCACATTAGCATGTCTTTGGTCATCAAAGGTTATGACCGCAACAAATGATTTAAATCAGTCATCACTGCGCTGTTCTTTTTTTATATATAATAAAGAGTGGTAAAGGATATAGATAGTTTTAACATAGTTTAAAAGTAAAAATTCTTAGATGTTTGATCAAGAAAAAGTTGGCGTTGTAAGTAACTAAACAGAATAATGCTATTCATATATTATGTTTATATCGAAAAAAATTATTATTGAAAGGAATATTTTTAAGTTTTTTATATTTAGAATATATTTTAAAAATGTATATATATATAATTAAAAAATAATAAAGGATACAAATAATAGTACGTAATATTATGTATTATGTTAATTTTTAATGATAATGAAATTTTATTTATATTATCACTTTTATAATATTTTTATACTATCTATCACAACACCCAACTTCAGGATAATTTTGGCAAGCAGAAATTGCATCTGGCTAAATGCCATTAGAGATTTCCCAAGTTGGTTATTTGGGCGCCAATTGTCAAAAGCCCAAACAAAGATGAAAAATGATTCCTTAATCATCACCAATTTACACAGCACAATCATGCACTGGTCGTTACCCAGATGGAATTTCATGCCACTTTAAACATGTTTAGTTCACAACCTATCCTCAAAAGTATGAAATGGAAGGCCAACAACATGTCAGTATGATAAATACTAAAATAGGTCGTATTCAAAGATGAAACATAAAAAATATAGAATAGCTCAAATTTGCAACGTCACATCACCACATCATAATCTCTCATTGCTTTTTTATTGCCTTAGAAAAAGGGTTTCATCAACTACTTTACAACTATCCACCAAATGCTTTTCAAAATTCAAAATGGTATTTGGAGAGGGCAAATTTCTGCCATAATAATCTACATTTACAATTTGGAGCACCAAACCCTTTTATTGCCCAATTACAAGAAGCAAAATGCCACATAAAATATTTCCTAAGTTGAAAACAATGGGTTTTCCTCTAAAAGTGAATTGGACCTAATAAACAAAGTTGTCAAGTCTTCAAGTGCTTTTTTTCAACCAGAAATAGCTGCATTGAGAAGCTCATTCCAAGTGTCAGGAAGCCCTGGAAGACACCAGTGGCTACAATCTGTTGCCATAACCCCACTATAGCCTTCAGGATGTGCATCTTTTCTGTATTGTGAGAGAGTGGTCACATCCAAGAAATACACTGGCTTACTTATCCTATTTAGCACCTTTTTCACCACCACCCAAGCCATTGGTGTCCCTGCAGGGTACTTCAATCCAAAGAATGGTTTTGTCTCACTCATGCATGATTTTGCTGGTTCATTCCAATCTTTCCCCCTATTCACCAAACCACCACAGTTTACTGATTAAAAACCAGCACATTTATATTTCATGGAATATGGATGTAAATTAAGAATATGTTGTTTAGATGAAGAATGTTAGTAATACATTTTTAATATATTATTTTTAACACACTTTTATTGATTGGATAAAATTTATTAAAAATGTAAAATATGAGTGGAAATAATTAAATTTAAAATAAAAATCACTAAATTAAAAGTATAAATCCCATTTTTTTGTGTATTTTTTAAAATAATTTTAGCTAATAACTAAAAATGTATACATTAGAAAGTATGTTGCTGACAATTTTTTATGTTTAGATAAGTAGCTTAATTAAATACTGTTTAAAAATTAATAAAAAATTATCAAATGAAAATTTATTGTCCTGCTTTACAGTAAATTTTAGAGGATCTTTAGCCATACAACTAAAGAAGAGTTTTATAGTCTTCTTTCACTTCAAATTTACATATGTATATATATATATATATATAACAGTTATTTGCATAAGTAATTTTCGCTTTTTTAATGCAACCCCTTTCTCTCATTCACATTGATAACTTTAATATGAAACTCATTATGCAACAGTTACTTAATTTTAAGCATTTCTCATTAAAAGTTACTTAGGAAATTAGGTTAAAAGGAACTTATACTAACAAGTTTCTCCATATATTTCAATGAAATCGTTTAAAAAATTGTATATAAGTCATTTTCATAATTTTTTTCTTTGATATTTGAATGAATCAATTAGAATTTGGAATTAAGGAAGGAGAAAACGATAACTTACTGGTAATGCACAGGGGAAATTCCTAAAAAGAAGACCTAGGTTTGTGCTGGATTTATGTTTCTTTCAATCCACTTAGCCCAAGTTGTCAGACCTTTATAGTATGCAACAAAACGATTCATGTCTTTGAACAACTTGTTATTCTCCTGAACATAGTCCCACCTGTCATCAATTTTAAGTGACAAAAAATTAGTATCATTAACCATTGGAATTAAAACTATACATGGGGTGATGTGAAAACAATGATCCTACGGTTGTGCACTTCCGGTGTGGGTCCACCAGTGCCACGTGTTGAAGATCAGCACGTCCATCCCTCTCCAATAATCACCATTCTTGATTGAGTCAAGCTTCAAAACTCGTCCAACTTTCTCATGGTCAAGGTCAACCAAGTATGCTGTGCGGTACAAAAATAACCCAAGGCCATAGTCCTGGAAAAATACACAACTTTTGCATTTGATATCTATTTTAAAAAAATAATTTCTTAAATTGGTAAAACCTCCTATTTAAGTAAACTCGGTTCTTATTTCTTAAGCAATTTTTCTACCAAATTCTTTCCACTCATGTCTTGTCGATCTCTGTCCTCTGTTAAGAAAATGATTAAAAGATAGACCAATAATCATGCAAGATTTCTATTCTTGTAAGATATGAAAATGTATGTGACCTGAAAAATGTTTGGTAGACAGCTATACAAAGATATAGAAATAAAAGAGAGAAAACAATAACATGTGTAATAAATAATATGATACAATAAAAGAAATATAAAAAAATTGAAAACCCTTAAATAAATATTAACACCTTTAGAATACTTATAAGTTAATGTAGTAAAATTTATTATCAATTATCATTATCTCACTTTACCATTAGTGAGAATATAAATCAATTGTTTTATAATTAAAAATAGATATCATATAAGGCAAACATGACCCTTTCCTTATCACAAAGAAGTGGTCCAGTTTTAAACACTTAGCAATTTACTAGATTTATAGAGTAACGTAGGACAGAACTGTCTCTATAAGCACGAGTGGTCCATCCTGTAAGTAATAAATAACAAACTTACTATTTACATCGCTCTTTTAGAAGACATATCCACAAGTCCAAAGAATACAATCGGGTTAGTTTGAAAAATATTTTTATTTTATTTTATTTTCTGTCTTCAAAGTATTTTATTGTTTTTAAAGTGAAAACAATACACAAGGTTAATGATTAATGTTACTACTCTGTTGGAGTTTCAGATTTTTGTAGTCGTACACATGGATTTAAATTGTTCTAATTCAGATATTATATACTTTTTTTTGTTAATTTCTTCTGAATTCAATTAACTCTCATGCAATCATGAATAATTATACCTGTAATATTATATAAATAACATTATGGAAGCTTATATCATAAACAAACATAATGAAGCATATAAAAGGATTTTCTGGTGGATGGAGAGGGGGATAAAAAAGCAAATATCAAATTATCATTAATTACATTAGCAGAAAGGAATCATGGAAAGAAAAAAGATTTTGTTGGGTAATGCTGTTAGTCGTTGTCTTACTCATAATTTAGTTAGAACTAATGATGGTAACTGCTCTACTATGTAATACTTCATGCGGGATCAATGTCAATCTACACAACCAAGATTGGAGGGAAAACTAGATCTCCAACACTAATCATTACTAATTCAGACAGTTGAATGACAAAGATTTTATGTAAAGCAACTGGGTTTCCTCCAGAATTGAGGCTTTCTATGCAAAAGAATAAGGGAAAAAGAAAAGTAACTGTTGGAAAATATTGTAATTTAAGCCAGGTTTGAATATGGAGAGGATAGATAACTTTATTTTTGACAGATTAATAAAATTAAAATATTACATAAAAAATTATATTAAGTTTTTTAAAATAAATTTTTATTATTTCTAATAGAATGGGATTTTTTATCACATGAAACAATTAAACAAACCCATATAAAGCAAGAAAAAGGGTCTTCCTTTTCTACCGTAACATAATGAATCTGTAGAAAATGCAACTCCACGTCCGTTCTAAATAATAAAAAATCAGAAATTAATACCCCCTCCCTTCTCTTTCTTGATCTTTTATGTGCAGAACTGTTTGAATTTGGTAGAGAAAGTAACAGAACAGTTTTTGAGGGAAGTATATTGAGACACAAATATTTATTATCTCTTAAATTAACATTCAGAAATGTCCCCAGCAAAAGGGAAAGCCTTCTCACCAATCACATCCTTCCTTTATTGATCCTACTTCCCGGCCAAACAGTAACTTACCACAAAAATAAAAAAACACATGCACCGCACAAGTTTGTAGCTCAAGGCTTTAATACCCAAATAGATCAGATTAAAAGGTACCAAAATTTGAGTTCAGAAGTTGAAGTGACTCAAAAAAGTTTCCATCTTGGAGTCAAAAACTTAAACCAGAAGAGAAAATGATAACTTGCATGCACAACCCCACCAAAAAAAAATATGAAAAAGTTTCAAAACAATGAGAAGAAAAATAAACACTTGAATGAAAGAACCAACCTCAAATGTCACTGAGGAAAGAGCATCCTTCTGTCTGAATGTGGTCCTAGAATTTGGAACCCACGCATGAATCATACATGCCAATGAATTGAACTGGTTCAAGCTCAGTGAGTCACCAACAAACATAATCTTCTTCCCCTTATACCTCTCCAAAAAGCTCAATCCATTGAACCTGCACCAACAATCCCACTTAGCGTATGATTCTATGAACAACATAAAATGGTAAAAATTTCATACATATGCACATATATAGAGAGAAAAGCTATAATAGAAGTACCTTGGTAATGGACAAGAAAATGGCATCCACCTATATTTTTGGTACAATGTATCTGGGCGACCGTACTTTTGGCAATTGAACTGTAGATCTATGAAGGGACATGAAGAAGGGTCATAGAGAGGATATGAAGCATCATAGACCCATTTTCCTCGGAACAAGTTGCATGTTCCTCCGAGGTTTCTACCTTTGAAGTTGGTTCCATCAAAATCCTCTGCTTTTGTTTGGTGACAAAACAAAAGCAGTGTTAAAAACAGAGCATGCACTAAAAAGAAACCCATTGCTCGGGTTTCGATTCCTCCCCGTGATTTTGTTGTTGCAGGGAAAAAAAGGACGAGGAGTGAAGAAAACTTGTCCTCAAATAAAGGTCTTATATAATGTGACTGTGAACAAGAGAGAGAGTGAGAAAGGTGAAGAGTTGGGTTCCACAATACACATGGAATGTAGAAACAGAATAACTTGTTTCCTTGTTCTTGTTTTTTTTTTTTTTTTTAATATTGAATATTATACAGTGAAACTTTGAATGGATTCTTTTAACCGTGGCGGCATCTTGTGGGGTTGGATGCAATGCTTGCTTTTAAAATTCTTGGAATCGTGATTGTGATTGTCATTCAAAAAATAATGGCAACCCTTTACCCACCAAGAAAGACACAATGGAAAATGTCTTGTAATAGGTTTTTCTTTTCCTTTTTCCCTTTTTTCTCTGCCATTGTTAAACAAATATCATACGGAAAATATATATCCACAGAAAGAATCAGCATTGAAACGTCACACAGAAAAATGAGCAGCTGAAATTTTTCTCACTTCTGTATTAAAAATTTGATTTTTATTTTTGTTTTCTAAATTAGAAATCACAAAAAATTCTGAATATCATATCTACCCGAGTTATGTCTTTATTTTTATTCCCTTGTGTGTAAAGAGTATGGTACTATAAAATATGAATGATTGAGTTTGTGAGTGTTACTTTTTGTGCAGCTCCTGAACCTGCCTCTGTTCTGATTTTTTAAATAACTCTGCGGCTGAAGATCTCACAAACATCATTTCAGATTTGGATAAAAAAAGACTGAGCATGCCATCGTTGACTCCTGGTCACTCATTCCCTCTCTCTCATGTGCTTGCTTTGCTTTTAGTGTCCAAAAACAATGGTACTTTCCATTTTTATGTGCAGTATATATTATCCATATATACATCACCTTGCATTTGGAAAATATTGTTTTCATTAACAGACAAATATAAGTCAAATTAGTTCTTTTTTTTTTTTTACATTTTTCTAGGAAAAAACTAATTTGATTGTGTACATTTAAAAATTTATAATCATACAACGAATAGTATTGAACAAGTAAATTGAATTTAAAATTATTTAAATGTGTGAATTTTGGCTCTAATAAATGCAGAAAAATGAATAAGGAGTTTACTTTCTCTTGAACACTAGCAAAAAGCATGCTTCTAATGAGTTTATCTTATACTAACTGGAATTTCAGTATTTATAGAGACTATATTTAATATAACATGTTGAAGTTTAATTTAAATTATGATTAACTAAGTTTAAATAAAAGTTTTTATGAAAATAAAATACATATTCAATAAAAAAAAATTAAGTGACTTAAATGAAAAGGATTAGTTTTAAAATTTATATTAAAAATAAAGACTCAACTTTATAATGTAAAATTTAATTACCAATAAATTAATTCAAGTCATGTATACTTAATTTTCTTTAAGGTATCAAGTTGGAATCTTGTATAAGAAAAAAAAATCTCCACTCTTAGACAATGAAGCCCATCAAATAATGGATATTTTCAGTTCAACTAAAGATTACTCCTAAAAAAGATACTTTTGTTCCAAACTAAAAATAATATAAGATGTAATTATGATGATAGTATATTGTATTTGACCTTTCAAAGGACAACCAGTGGGGAGGATGTTGCCGACGCAAGTTATTGATCTTCATGTGATCCCTTCCGTTTCCTCAGTCCCACATAAAGATAAACAAAACAAAATTATAAAGTAATTTTTTTTTCATAAATTAAAATAACTTATATTTTTCTGTTTTCATAAAACTTTCTTGAGAATTTTTATTATTTTCTGTAAGAACTTCTTTAAAAATTTACACAAAGTAAGCCTATATCAATTTGAAAACATTTTTCTGAACATAATTTTACATGAAAATCTCTCTCCACAACCTACCTTTGAGAATGGGTTAAACGATACAATGAAACTTGACTAATCCAAACTTGAGTGAAGCTCATTTAGGTGAGAAAGATAGAGTGAGATAAAGTAGAAGCTGTGTTCTAAGAGTGGTGAAGTGTATAATAGGAAAGTTATTGGGAGAAACATATATATAGAATGATGAATGAGGCATATATTAATGAATTGCATGTGGTGCATGTAGGGCATGTGTCTTGGTGGTGTACCAAAACGTGTATCATTTGAGTATTTTGCATTAGTTGTTAAATGTTTCTTCTTAGTTGTCTTCTTCTATAAAGGAATCTCACCCATCACAAAAGTCCTTCTTAGTAGCATACTGAGCCACTCTTTAAGTATAGGGCATACTTGATGCATCAAGAAACCTTCTCCTCATGTGCTTATAAAAGTTTTTCTTTCATTTTTTTATGTCAAATTAATAAAAATAATAATAAATTTTTAAGTGGTCCTTTTTTTTAATTAATTTTGAATTCTAATTGCCAAGACAAACTACAACCAAATAAAAAAAAAGCCATGAAGTGATCCTTTTTCATATTAAGTTCGTCAGGGGGCTTAAAAAATCAAAACAACAAATTATGATAGGAATCTTACAATTCTAGGTTGATCCAACCTTAATCTAGAAAAAACATTAATGATATATAAGTTTAATTAAGAAAAGTTTTGGCAAAACGAGACAAAGTTGCCTTCAAATTAATGTGAGCTAAATAAAGTCATAGAACAATGTGATTAATTTTATTTTTATTTTCAACTTGCTGAGTTTATTTAAGTATTTAAATTAAATAATTTTTATTAAAAACACATTTATTTCGTCAAAAATATATTAAACGCTTCTTTATTTAATAATTTTTTTATTATTTATTTAAATTCAACTTTTAAAACTGAAATTAATATATATTTTTTAAATAACCATGTTTAGCATTGATGTAGTATCCATTTGATTAAAACACATTCATAAATTAATTTAAACTACATATTTTTATTAAAATGTGTATTTTTTTTTATTGAAAAATGAGATAATTGATTTTGTAACTTTAAAATATAAACAGGTCCTTAATTATTATTCCCAATAAGATGTAAAGTTAGAATAATCATATAATAAATAATTATCAAGTTATAAGAACCAAAAAAGTAGAAAAATATTACTCTCAATGCACCATCGAGATGATAGGGAGAGTCTTTCTCCTCCACTGTTTTAAGATAAAAGTAATTAAATAAAAATAATAATAAATGATAAAATATTATTTTAAAAAAGTATTAACAACATTTCTAAGACAATGCTATTTTAAGTTGAAGTATTTACGTGGGCAGATATAATCAAGTGAATAAATATAATAAATTTACAGGTATTCAACATGATTTTGCTTCTCATTGTGGTTCCTCTTTTAATGTCATTGGTCAATAATGGCAAGCATTATCCAAGAGACACCAAATGGCTGCATTGATGAACCTAACTTGATTCTTAAGAAAAACCATGTGCTTTTATGGCCACAACCAAATAAAATATTAATGCTAGATTAGGTGGTCAAGTAATTAGCACTATAGAAATTAAATTGTGCCCATAGTATAATTATGTTGGAAGATTATAATAATCATTCTTCATTCATAAAACAGCTAACAATTACAGATCTTTCCATCGCTCAATGCAAAAGCTCTATTTTTATAACACAAACATTGATATAACATATTCGCAACAGCACTAGTTGATGAACTCGGAAGTGTTCCAGAGAGTTTGTATATTATTAAATTTAACATTATTAATGGAACTTTTACATTAAATTCACAACTTAAATTATAGTTTTGAAGGATTTTTTTCCTCCAACTCTAGCTTTACCGTACCAAACTGTCGGTGAATAACACGACATGGGAGATGTCAAGTCATTAGGTTCAGGATACAACAGTTGTCTAATGATTGCTTCAAATTATTTTAAAAGCCAAAAATTGTCTATATTTATTGTGGCAGGTATTCGGGGATTGCTTAGAGTATCAAAAAATATTTGTTTAATTTCACTTTTAATATAAAAATATTCTTTCATTTTTTTAAATATTTGCATAGAAAATATTAAAAAGTATTAATTTTCTATATGAATTATTAAAAATAAAATGATGTTTTTATAATAAAAAAATAAAAATATTTTTTAAAACTAAACAACTTCTATCATGGTGTTTCCATGCTGGTATATACAGTTTCTTCTTCTAGCATACCCTAGATTAAATCAATTCTTTCATAGCCGGCAAAAAATAATTAAACATTATTTGTTTATCCAATCTTCAGTTCTTGAATCCTGATCATTATCTGTCGATGCTCATCTGACTTTGTCAATGAATAAACTACTTTTATGTAACCCATTTATGAATTACTTACACTACATTTAAGTAGAAGTATTTTTTTTTATCCATCTAAACAATACATCATATCTACTTGTATAGAAAATACTAAAAACAGGTTTGTGTTTACTCAAAACTAGGAACTATTTGTAGTTTTGTACTGAACAAATCTTGATCCATCAAAGTAAAGGCCACCAAAAGTCACATGAGAATATTGAAACTACTGGTTCTTATCACTTCATGAGATATTTTAGGATTGTGAAATCAATCAGCAATAACATGGAGTTGACAATGGCAATCAATGGAAAATATGATAATAGAAGTTTCATAGACTATTCTATTTGGTGGTTCTCATTTGAATCATCTAATTACAGCTTCCCTTTTCTCTTTTCTGTGAGAAGGAAAAAGAAAAGGTTGGAGTAGGGGGAAGTTAAGGAGCTAGGAAATAACTATAAATAAAAGAAATATTGTATGAATTTAACATGTCAGCATCAGATATTTCCAGTAGGGGCATCTTAATCTTCTTCATAAAGACTAATGAGTGAGTCCAAATTTGTAGCATTGAGTGTGTGTATATAAACACAATTTTATCAATTTGGTATTTAAGAGTTAGATAAGCTCCCAATCAGGTTCAGACACACTAGGAAGCAGTAATTTCTTTTGATCCTCTGCTAAAGTTGGATCTAAATTCTCCATGCAATATCCCTTTACTTTTTCACTTTTCTCATGCCATGCTGCAAGCTCCTTATACTCTTGCTTTCTTGCAGACTTCTTAGACAAAGAAAAGGCTTGCTTCTTTTTCTTGAAACAGAAAAATACTTTAGTTAAAGTTGGAATATGAATGTGTACCAAATGAAGAGGAGGGAGGGGTTGAGAGTGTGTACCTTGTTATTATTTAAATTACCACCTGCTTTGGGAGGTAATTGAATTTCATGTCCATTCACCATAACGCAGCTTTGCTCAAGCTTCAGATGATCTTGTTGCATGGTTTTATGGCCTTGTTCTACAACAATATCAAATTAGCAATCATTGTTAAGCGAAACTTCGTGTTTTGAATTTCTTAAATAATGGAAAGGATCAATTACCATGACATCTATGTGCTTATATGTAGCCTGTGTCTATATTCATGCAAACTAACTTTAAACATGTTTCAGAGTGCATCTAGATATATCTATGTGAACTTCACAAAATATTAAACAATCCAATTGGTTTTAAAATAAATATTTATTGCATTCAGAATAATTCATAATGTGTTAGAACGAATATTCAGGTCATGGATGAACTACATGTTCTATATAGAAAGCAGAGTTATCAAGTGAAAGAGAAAATTCCACTTAATATAAGTTATGGAGTTGAAAAAACAGTTTCTCACCAAATAATAAGTACTCTAAAAACATTCTATCACCAAGAAAATAACCAAATTCTTTCCATTTGAAGGGCATTGAGTCCTTGCTGCATATTTTTCATTTCAACAAAGAGTGCCTTTGACATTAACTGGAAATGAGGCATGAATACAATTACAAATCCCATTTCACACACACCAGTTTCCCACAACCTAATGTAATGTTACAACAAAAATATAATCTCCATGGATACTTCCCAATTTCAGATTGGAAAGATGAATGAACTGCTACCACTTCGATTCCTAAAAGCCAGTGCTGACATTGAATTTTCTACGGTTTCTAAGTAGAACAAAAATCAATCCTTATCCTTTTTTTCCAACCACTAGGGGTTCGCATGTGAATTCCAAATGAAGAGATAGCTCCTTAAAAAAGCAACACCAAGCAATAAAAAGAAAACAATATGCAATGCATGTCAGTATGCTAGTTGTACCTTTTTCATCATATATTACAGATCATGAGATCAAAGAGTAGAGGTTAAGATGAACAAAATTATCTTTCAACAGATTAATGTTTTGACCTCTCAAATACATCCAAATGGGGATGTCTCTTATTTATTATTTTCATGCAACATTAGCAAAAAGCAACAGCACCATGATACACTTCCTCAATATTCAAATTCAACCAAAATAGGTCCATAGGCTGAAATCAGTTAGTACTTTGAATAATACATAATAATACCTATATGATTAAGAACCACCATATAATATGTATAATAATCGGACTGTAGTGGTCTATCCATAAAGAAACAGTACACTCATTGAAAAGAAAAATTTGAAATAAAATGTAATCAACCAAAATGATGGGGAAAAATCTGAAAATATAATCAAGAGATACATAAATACTCACCAACCGGCTCTTCAAGTGCGACACAAGAGGAAGAAGAACGCATATTAATCTCTTTCTCTTCAGCTGATCTAACTAGTACCTGATCACTGGGGAATTGTTTAGTACTAGCATTTTCAATTTCATTCAAAGAATCTGCTTCAGAGGCAAGCCTTGTCACTTCAGCTGAAGATAGCTTTGAAGCACTAATTCCATGATTCTGATTTTGATTTTCATTTGAGATCTCACAAGTTCCATCATACGATGCAGTGTGTATGGCCTCATTATCAACATCATGATCAATCCTCAAATCCTCAGTTGTTTGCTTGATATCATCCTTTACTGGTTTTTCCTTAAAAAATTGGAATTGCTTCTTACAGAATCCAGCATTAGTATATTGATCTATAGGCAATTCAGTGTCTTCCTTTTCATCTGGAGGAAGTAAATCTCCCATAATATCTGAATATAACTTTTTAACACTTTTCCCGACAATCTGCATCTGACTCTTCATGTATTTAACTGCATCCTATACTCAGAAAACAAAAAAATATTATCATAAAGGAATTCAAGAACTATTTAAACCCTCTACTGTTATTAAAAAATGAAGATCATACAGAAAGTATTTCAGAAAGATAAGCAGAGTTAACAAGACAGATATAAGAGCCAGCTGCATTCAACACCCAAAAGTAATTATCAAGGAAGTTAAAGGAGAAAGGAATCCATAAAGTGCTAAGTAAGGATTTTTAATGTATTTGGAGCAAGAGGTGACAAAAGTTCACATCATAACAAAGAAAGGTTAAGTGTTAACCTTTGAAAAATAATAGAATAGTAAAATATTACTATTTTGAATTAATTTTCCATATAAATTAGGCCTGATATTTATTCATAGTAAAAGTAGACATGTTCAAAGTTCATTTAACAAACACTAAGGTGCAGTTTTTCTCTTAGCATTCTGGCTATTTTATCAACAAGAACAGGAAATGATATGTATACTGCTTACAACAATAATTGCAGGTAGAATACTAGGGAAACATAAGCCAGACATGAAGATATGCAGCTTTACTGGTAGCAATGGAGAGAGCAAAACAAAATTTTAGGTATTTGATCAACGATATGTATAACAAGTACAACAGGGTAATTTGAGTTGTCCGTTCTTGTTTGAAACCTAAATCAACGTGCATAGCATAGGTTAAGGTTAACCGACAACAACAGCATACCTCGTACATCATGTCTTCCACCTCCAAGCACATATTCTCAAACTTGTGGTACATATTTCCTACCCAAGTTATGCCTTTTACATCCATAGTGATCATAATATCTTTTCTGGAAGAGTAATTTGTCCTGATATTGAACAAGGCTGCGATTACTAGTCTCAACTTCGAGGAGGCTGTACTCGATTATCTACAATAAAGCAGAAAGATAATATTCAACAAAGGGACTAAATTCATCATGAAGTGTCATCAATGATAACAAAGACATGAAAAGGATTGCAGATAAGTTCCATCCCATAACACAATCCATCCAAATTCCAAAAGCCCAAGTAATAATTGAAAAAACATCAAAACATGTCCTCACCTAATAATGTCGAACTTAAAACTAGAACTTTCTACTGTCCCACTTAGTACCTACCAACAATAAATTCATCCTCTAAACCATGCTAGGACCTTCATGTAATTCACCATAAATAATACTAAATCCTCCAACTCCTCCCTTTTATGCCTATAAATCTTCTTAATTACTAAATAAAGAAACTATCAACTGCATTTCATATTTTTAAGATAATAAGTAAATGGACTATTTCATTTTAATAGTATTAGGATTATTAGGAGGATATAGCAAAGCTCAATTCACCACACCTAACCCTGAATGTTTAACTTCATTTCCTAAACAATCCACAATTTCTACCTCTGCCCCCACAACAAAAAAGTTTTAAAAAAAATGAACTTCTAACTTTCATTGATCAAATCACTGAAGCAAGGGAAGTATATAAATTTGCCTCAGGAACAGCTAAATTAAAATTTAAACACACTAACACCAAATTAAATTAAGCAAAACAAAAGAAGAAAAGAGAGAGGGTATATCATGATGACAACAACTAGGCCACATGTTAACAAAGAAAAGATCTTTTGATCAGAAAACAAAAACTCATGTTGGATATCACAACAACACAGCAAGTTCGATCATGGCCGGGTCAGAGAATACTTGTTCTAAGAAGAGCAGAGAAAACCAATGAAAGGGGTCACGTCATACCCCCAACTCCTTAGCTTTTCAAAGGGACTAAAAAGGAATAAAGAAGTAGATTCGAACACGAAAAGTGGAGAACAGTTTCATAAATTTCAGAGAAAAATGGTGACTAGAGAAGTGTACGAGGAGGAACAACAATAGAATAAGGAAACGTACACACTAACTTGCACACGTGTACACTTCATTCCTAAGTTCTACATCAAGATTCTTATTCTTATTTTATTCCTATGTACTTATACCACATGTACGGTTTTCACATCTTTATAGAAATAAAAAATGTTAATATTAGTCATTAAAGTTAATTTTCAATATTTAAAATCACAAAATTTTATTTAAAATGTATATTTATTATATTAAAATATAGAAGTATAGTAAATATTTTTATATAAAAATGCATTATTTTTATATATTCAATATCAATTTTAAAATTAATACTTATACAAACAAAAAAAGAAACATTAATGTATGTTACTGTGGTATCGACCACGATCATAAACAAGTACAACAATTAATGTAAGACAAAAATGTAATGTTCGAATCGTTTTATTGCGTTCTTGTTTATGATAGTGGAAAGGATATGATTATTTATTTGTTGTTTAAAAATTCCTCATAAAAAGGGTAGAAAAAGAAATTAGTGTTTTTTTAAAGTCCAGAAATAGTTTCTTGTGAATGAATCGTTGAGCATTCAAGCGATAACTAGCTTAAATTTTGACAATCATAATAAAAGTATAAAAAAAATCATAACTTCTTTAAAAAATTGTCCAACAATGGAAGCTTAAAAAAATTATAAGTTGAGTATGAAATTTTCACCAGATCATTGTTTTTGTAGTGCTACATTTAGTAGGGACTCTTTTTTTTTCAATAGTTTTTGGCTTTGAGTTTGAATTTTTAGTTTTTCAATTTTCATGTAACCCAACAATAGCTTTAAAGCATGACTAACACAAAGCGTATTGTTGGGTCTTCCCCTCCTTATCGGTTTCTATATTTGGGACACAACTGTTGTCTTGTTATCTAAGTTTACTTTTCCTTCTAAATATTTCTTCCTGATTCTATACTACTTTAGGCATCACAAGAAGATAGCCAAAAAGAAAACAAAGAAATTGGACATGATAGACAATAGTAATTGACCTGTGCTTCAAGAAAAGGATAAAAGCACATTTCTGGGAATGGATAATTATTCCCAGGATCAAAGGAATTAATTTGCACTCCAGAAGGTAGAAACCAGAAATTAGTTTTTTATAAGCTCGGAAATTAGTTTCTTGTGTATGAATAGTTAAGCATTCAGGCCATAGGATTTATTAGAAATCATTGCTAAACTAAGGTCAAATTACTAACATTTTTCAAAATAATGACATATTACAATTGTGTGCTTTCGGTTGCTTAAGTGAAGATAATTCATAAGAAAAGATATCCTTCTGTGAACAAGTTACAATATCATAGAAAACTCCATTTCGTCTTGATAAAAGGATCAAAAGATGCTATGATCACTTATCTATCAACCAGCAGTCAAAGCACCAAAATATGTGTATGAACCAGATCAAATGCCCCTCATCTTTGACATGATTTGTTTTCCAAAATGTACATATCCAAATTGGAAAGAGTGGAAGCACGATATTTCAGTATTTATACATTAGTTTACATGGTACATGAAAATACTACTGTCACTCACTTCCACATCACATTCAAACATTGTATGGATATAGAGATTAAGTGTGTTTGGATTCACGATTAAGTGGTCATAAATCCACGTTTACTTTAATGTTACTAATTATAACTTCTGTATTGGATCCATGTTTACAGGTTTTTCAACATATTTCCGTACACACTAAAATTACTTAAGCAAGGAGCTTACAAGAAGTCTTCTAAAGATGAAGAACCGAATATCGAAACCCTTCTTCTTTTTCTGGTTCCTAGGATGTCATGTGAAACAGAAAATCTATTGAGCACGGATCTAAGAGCTTGGTGAACAGAACCGGCAAGAAACTGACGGTACGTGGCATCTTTAAAGTTTTGTTCTTTGCAGCTAATTATCACAAAGACATTCTTCATTCTGCCTTCCAAGGTTGCAATATCTGCCCTCATTATCATAAGATCAAGAGCATCTAGTGCTTGTCTTATATCAGACAACAAACCTGGTTTATATTCACAACTTAATGATACCCTAATTGAATAAGGAAAACCATTTAATCCTCCCTCTTGTTCTTCAACACTTATTTCATCATTGTCCTCTGGTATCATTAGACCTTCACTAGCTTGTGTTGCTTTCTTTTTCAGCTCTTTCAAATGTTTAATAGCTTCACCAAGTAATGATGCTTTGTCCATCTATGCATTCAAAAGTTAGAATGGAAATTTCAGATTCTCAAGCAATGAATGAACACTTCAACATGCTTTTTTCTACTAACAACATGAGCTTCACAATTAAACAATGAGCACAACTAGGTAGAATAATTAGTATCAGGTCCCCCTCATCCCGTTTTTAGGAAAACAAAATTTTCAAATTAAGCCCTTCACAATCAAAAGCAACAACTCAATACGTTACTAAATGGCTTTACTAATGGATCATTGGATCCGCTAATTAGCATAGTTTACACTCCAAATTTTCAAGCACCCAACAGTTTTGTAATACATGTGAAGATTATAAATGGAAGCAAAAGAGAATGCTAATGAATAAATACTCTTCAAGTTTAATAATGAAGAAGCATGCATGCATGATAGGTACCAAATCCATCAAATTGTGACTTGTCAAGCTATGCTCACAATGCAATCACCAGCAAAAGCAGGGAAAGTAAAATATAGATCACTATTATACACCCTTTGATCTACCATTCTTTTCTGACCCAATCAACCAAATGACTAGCTTATTCAACATTAGTTAAATGCTTCCTCAATAATTTGAAAAAAAGAAAGATGACTGAAAAAACATTATGCTCAACTAACCTTCTTAGCACCTGGAATCACACTACGAAGTGTGTCAAGATGTGCATTAATCCTTGCTCTCCTCCTCCTCTCAGCTTCACTATGGCTCTTCAAAGCTTCGATGCTTCTCTCAGTGGACACACCCTTCCTTTCCAATTTTACAGGTGCCTCCACAAGCACCCCTCTCTCCCTGTCCAAAACCAGAGAGAAAGATGAACCATACCCACTTCCAATTACACCATTCTTCACTTCAAAACCACTAATATTTCCCTTCGAAGCATCTCTATGAATGTCATACCCCCAATCAAAAGCTTCCATTTCCACAGCTCAATAATAATATTAATAGCAAGAACAAACAGTTTCACAAATAGAACATACGAAGAGGCAAGATACTAGAATCTTCATAACAAGTTCGAACCAAGAATTGAAGAAGAGTAACTCCTAAAATTGAATGGTTTTCGAGTGTGACATAACTCTTTTATTTATATAGCCTATAATTTGTTTTAATCTAACAATGTGGGACTTCTATTGTTTATCATAGGGAACAAGAAGAAGGAAAGTTGTGGGGACAAGACACAGAAGACAACCTTGGAATGATGGAGAGGGAACTGTTTGGTTCTTTGTCATTGTGGATTTGGAGTGTGTATTTGGAAGTGAAGACACTGTGTAGGGTAGTGAGAATCTGTAACAGTGTCAGTGACAACAAATGATGATGGCAAAGGAAATAATGGGAAAGATCCGAAGGGTACCACGATTGGAGAACACCACACCTGTTAAGCAAGATGGAACACGCCCTTTTTTATATTGGAGTAGTTCTTGCACCAACAAGATATTGGGTGTCCCTACTGTACCTTATTTTTTACATCTTGCAACATTTCAATATTTTACCCGTACCAGAATCATATAAAATCAAATGAATCAAACATCAATTTTTTTTCAAAGTTAAGATTTGCATTTGCTCAATCAAAAGCCTTGAATAAATCCAGGGGGCCAGCTTCATGCATGCCTAAATCATATAAAATTTTCTGTTTTTAAATGTTGATATTTTTATTATAGTTATATTTAATTGCACATTCAATATTTATCGGGGTAGCTTGTAGTCTTTGCAACCCAACAATTAAAATTAAAGTAGGTAAATTAATATATCTTTGTGTTAAGACAATAGTAGGCAAAATAAATTATTCAACTCATTTGGACTAGTATATCACGAGTAGTGAGTTGAGTTAAAAAAAAATTGATCTAATTAAGACTCATAAAAATAATATTTAAATTAAATTAAAATTTTTTTTTAGAGACTTGACTTGAATTGAGCTGAATCAAATTGAATTAAAAGATTCAATGTTAAATTAAATAAAGTTCAAACTCTATTTTTTATTTTGTAAGTTGACTCCACTCAATTAGTCGTCAACTCTAAGTAATACTTTTATTTTAACAAATTTTATAAAATAAACATATTTCTACGATAAAATTTATTAATATTTAATTTCACAACAACATAGAATGTAATTTAAAAAAAAAAGTTTCGTTCATTAAAACGAAATATTTAGGTATTGTTTTAATACTTAATTTTAAAAGTAAAACTTGAAACTAAAAGTTTTAATACAAGGAGCCAACTTGTCAATAAACAATGGGTAAATGACCCTTTTGTTGTACTTATAACAAGTTAAAGGTTAGCAGAGAAGTTAAGAAAAAATAATAGTAGACAATAAAGATAATGAAAAGATTTAACTAAAGTTTTAGTATTTGGTCTCTTATCTTAAAATTCTTTAAATGATTTATTCGTAATTGGATTGAATTGAAATATATTTTTGTGGAAAAAAACAAATAAAGATGTAATGTGGGGCACCCAATTATTAAATATTAAATATTATTTGTTCAGCAATTTTACATATCATATCTAAGATTTCTATTGATCTCGCTCCGTCATTCTTGTTGGACTCTAAATTAAAGATTTTTAAGATAACATATCCTTGAATTTATAAAACAAAGTAATCAACTTCAAAATCTATGAAGTGAAACTTCATATTTATACATGTCAATGTTAAACACATTTACGAAAATTTTCTATTAAGTCGAAATAAATTTTCGATTCAATTTATTAATCAATCAAAAGAGATTTTTAATTTCTTTTAAATTTTTAATTAATATCCCATTTTTTAATCAACATTAAATATGATAAAATATGGATCTAATCCGCATTTGCATATTTTTAAATATATTAAATTATATATTTTTAAAATGACATGATTAAGTTTGTCAAATTTTATTATTTTAAACTCTAAAAATAATTTTATATATAACCAATATTAATATATTATTGTTTGATAGATTTTAGAGGGTACAAGTATTGAAAATAGAAATTGTTCTTTCTTAATTAACTATGTTAAATTTGACCTTGTTTAAATTATTTTAGTTATTCCAAACACTTGATATATAATATTGAATAATTAATTATTTTATCACGCCTGAAGTTTGGTTTGAATTAATTAAATACTTTGTTTAGCATAATTTATATTTAGGATGTGAAACAATAATACTATAACACCCTCTTGGTATGTATGCGGGTGGGTGACATCCTAAATAAATATCCAAATTTAAACACTACTCAAATCTACTTCAAATTAAGATATCCAGCAAATCCGGAAAGATTGTGCCAAAAGTCTTCAAATATTCAATCCCAATAAAGAAACCCTAATAATTGTTAGACGTAGCTCTAGTGCTGAAGATTCACAGCTGGATACGTTTGTTGGAATTGACATAACCCTAATTAGCATTTTTGGAATTGAATGATGACAAAGCATTGGAGCATTGAATAATGACAAAGGCTGGTTTTAGCAAAATTTGAAGGGAATCTTATTGAGACATTGAAGCGAAGCTTTTGAGGTATATAATACATTATTTGCCATTATATCAATGGTTCTTGCATGCAATATCGAATTATCAGTGTTTGGGATCTTCTGAGATCTCTCAATTAGTTTTCTTATTGCCCCAATATGCTTTTCTGCCTCTTCCACTTATGTGAAGTGCAAATCACATTGTGATTGAGTTTTCTTTTGGAGTGATGCATCGTTGGAGCTTTTGTTAAGGAAAAGCCAATTTTGGATGATAGGGTATAAAGATCCATGTAATCCCTTTTATAATTTAATTAATCCCTTTTTAATCACTAGCTTTGGCATTAAACTTCTAAACTATTGTCCACTCAATGTATAGAGACATGGAACAACTCTTTGTGTGGACACATCCAATTTGATTCGCACACTTTCTCTTAATGGCCATGAAAGTTTATTATTATCATTATTGTTGTTGTTATGATTTTATTGAGGCGTTTTCAAGGACATATAAATGTAACAAAACTTATTTTTTCATATATATCAAATTTAATTTTTTCATCATATAATATTATTTCACCATCACGCATGTCAAATTTTATACTAGTTTAACATTTATAAATAAATAATTTTATTATCAATATTTGCTTATATATACTTTAACATTGTATGTTAACATAAAATTTAATGTCTATTAAAAAGTATTAAGCATAATAATAATTAACAAAAGTTTACTATTAAAATGAGTTATTCATTTATATATATACATACATATATATATATATATATATATATATATGTACTTGTTAAAGTTAATCAAATTAATTACTTTAAGAATTATGATTTTTTTTAGTATAAGTTATATTAACTTTTATACCATCGATAATTATATATAGAATATAACTATTATTGATGTAACTGTTGAATTATATTTTAATTAGTTGGGTGAAATTATGTTAAAAAAGAATAACTATTAGAATATTATAAAAATTCTTATTTTTATATATTTTAAAAATATATATCATATTAATTTTAATATAGATGAAAGAGTTATAAAAATAATTTTAAATTTTTACAAAAAATAAAATAAAAAAGCATCAAATAATCACAAACACCTTGAGGATGTAACAATGGATAAGAGGGTTAGGATGTTGATTTTACTTAGATCTTTATTGCACTTTTAATATGCAAACTACTAAGAGAAAATCCTAATTTCGTTTGTCTTTCTCATAACAGGAAGATTGGATGGATGATTGAGTTGAAATTATAACCAATTTCAGGTTGCAGCACCTTAATTTGGAGGCATCCTAGGAGAGAAAAGCAACATGTTATGTTATAGGTTGAGATGGTGAAAGAGTGAAGAGGGTATTGAGTGGCATGGAGTCCCTGCAAAAGTGTCTTTTTGAAACGTTTATTATTAGCATCAACAACAACACAAGCTCGACAATGTTGTTGACCTTGACATCTCAATGAATATAGTAATTAACACATATTAAAGAATAAAAGTAGTACCTAATACTAAAACTCATTCCCATCCATTCTCTCCACCTCCAACATTTTGACATTGCAAGGGACTTAAGAGACTTGTACACTAACATTTTGTTTGTTATATAACAATTTTGTTGGTAATATTATAACATTCATTATCAGTAGACTAAAGCAAAACAATTTTTATAGAGAAACTATTTTATACAAATTTTTCATGTAATGATTAAATGAGTATCTAAAGTTATATCTAATTATATATATATATATATATATGTGTGTGTGTAATTACCCTATTTGTTTATATACTCAATTTTTTCCTTTAAAACTATTTTCCTCAAAACATTTGTTTTATCAATTTGCAATAAAAATAATTTGTATAGATTTTAAAGCTATAATGTTTTTAATACAAAAAACATAAAATAAAAGAAAGATTAGTTTAATTTATTCAAAATATGTTTGACCCAATAAGCCAGCCCAGCCCAGCTCGATACAGGACAGACTATGGGGACTGTTAGGCCTGAGTGGATCAGCTTAGCCTACTTAATTTAGTGGATTCAATGGGCTTACTGGACCCGAGCCCAAATCAGCATTTGGACCCGACCCCAGCCCTAATGGGAAACCGCTTTTGCACTTTTGAAAAAAAAGTATTATTAAATTTAAGCATTTAATAGTAATTAATTTTATTTAAAAATATAACATTTATTATATTTTTATATTCTTAAGGTCATAATATTTTTAATAAAAATTTATTACCATTGATTATTTATCTTAAAAGGGACAGCACTGGTTGTAATAAAGCGATTGAATTTGAAGATCAGTGTGGCGATGAGTGGAATCCAATGTAATGAATGCATTAGAGACAATACTGACCATTGAAAGGAAGAAAGAAAAAGACATTAATGTGGTCCTTCTAAAATTTTAAGTGCACTTATATAAGCTTTTAAACAATGAAAATTATTTTTTAATCGGTTAATCTATATACTCTTTTATAAAAGTTTAATTCATGTTTTTAAAATTTGACGTGGTTAAATTTTTTGCGATTAAAAAGGTGTTTTAAATCATGTTTAGTAAAATTACCGAATAAGTTAAATAAAAATTGATAATTATTTAGTTATTAGAAAAAAAAAATTCTTTTGATTTCTTAGTCAGTATTAAAGTTAGCTAACTGAGTTAAAATCATTCAATAAAAGTAGCTATTAGATTTACTTGAAATTAAATAATTATATATAATTACTTAATTTCAAGTATTTTAAAAAATTCATGATAACTAATTATTTTTTTATTTTTCAATTTAAAATATTTTCATAAAATAATAAACACAAATTTATATTATAGTTTTAACTATTCGATATTATAAAGTAATTAAAAATGTGACTAAAAAAATCTAAAGAGTAGTACACTTAAAAATAAAAAAATAAAAAAAATGTAAACTTAAATATAATATTAAATAATATTTAAAAAGTATTAAAAAATTAAACTCTTTTATTAAAATGATTTTGTATATTTATATGTATTAACAGTGAATATTTTTTTTTAAATAAGAGTATTTTTTAAAATTATTTTTTGAACAGTTGATTTTTTTTATTATCTCATGTATTGTTTTCCATATTTTAGTATTTTTAAAATTCTCTAATTATAAACTTTTTATCACTTTATCATAATCTTATGTAATGTAATAAAATATTTTTGAATTTAATTAATTTTTAAAATTAAATAATATGAATATAAATTTTCATTTAAGAAATTATTTTAATTTAATAATATTGATAAAACTAATTTGTATTAAACATAATCTTAAAATTATTTAATGCATATATGAAAAACTGAAGAAAAATTTATCGTTAATAAAGTCGATAAAAATTTAATAAATTAATAAGTATTAATTATTGTAATTTTAATATAAATTTTTATTTAGAAAAATCGATAATCTAACAATCTAATAATAGCGAGGCGTTCTACAAACGCGGCGCATGTTAGCCCCAGTTCCGCTAATACCTATAGTATAAAACTCACCGTTTCCTAGCATTGTGTTTTGCTTCTTTTCTTGCACAAAAAATGGCAGCTACTGCTTCTTCTTCTTCTTCTTCATGCTACACTGCACTCTCTTCCACCCCTTCTAGAACCTTCGCCAAGACCTTCGCTCAAACCTTCGCCGTTCCCAATATCGTGTTCTCCAAGCTCAGCCTCAAAGGCGTTAGTGCTCGGCGCTGCATGGCTTCACTAGGCGCTCGCATGGTGTCCGCGCCGCCGGTCACGTCTCCGGCTTCGCTAGATTTTCAAACCTCCGTTTTCAAGAAGGAGAAGATTAACCTTGCTGGACACGACGAGGTTTCCAGCAATTCAACATTTCTTTGTTTTTTTTTATAGCAGCATTACTCCAATAATTCAAATTAGTAACTGAAATTACTAGTCACTTTCTAACATTTTTGGTGACGTTTATTATTGTTGTTTTTGTTGTTATTGACATTTACTTCACTTTGAGAAATTAACATGTTTTTTTTTTCTGGTTAATTTGTTGTAGTACATTGTGAAAGGAGGGAGGGATTTGTTCCATTTGTTGCCGGATGCTTTCAAGGGGATTAAGCAGATTGGTGTCATTGGATGGGGTTCGCAGGTGAAAAAAATATGACTCCTTTTTTCCACTTAAAGGAGATAACTTTTGTTTAATAAGATTCTTTGAATTGTATTCGCCAGGGACCAGCTCAGGCACAGAATCTGCGGGATTCACTTGCTGTAGCAAAGTCTGATATTGTCGTTAAGGTTGTTCTGGATTTCATTGTTTACTTTTTAAGGATCTTTATTGATTTGTTGGTCTCTTTCAAAATTGTAGTTATTTTAACATGTTGATCTTTTAACAATGCAGATTGGCCTTAGGAAAGGTTCTCATTCCTTTAATGAGGCTCGCGCAGCTGGTTTTAGTGAGGAAAATGGAACTCTAGGCGACATATGGGAAACTATCTCGGGCAGTGATCTCGTGTTGCTGTTGATTTCTGATGCTGCACAGGTTAGTTAATTAATTTGTTGAAGTCATTGCTCAAGGGATTTTTTTCATATTTATTTTATGTTCCTGCTCAATAAATTTAAATTTTTTCTTTATCATGCAGGCAGATAATTATGAGAAAATATTTTCCCATATGAAGCCAAACAGCATACTTGGGCTGTCCCATGGTTTTCTTCTTGGGCATTTACAGTCAATGGGACTTGATTTTCCTGAACACTTCAGTGTAATTGCTGTATGCCCGAAGGGGATGGGTCCATCTGTGAGGAGGCTGTATGTCCAAGGCAAAGAGATAAATGGTGCTGGAATTAATTCAAGTTTTGCAGTCCACCAGGTGATCCTCATGCTCTTTCCTTCCCTTCTTGTGGTGTCCCTGCCTGTAATTATCTTTTTTATTAATTATTTTGTTGGGGCTGAGCACTATGTTTGCATGCAGGATGTGGATGGCAGGGCTACTGATGTTGCTTTGGGATGGTCTGTTGCCCTTGGTTCTCCTTTTACATTTGTCACTACATTAGAGCAGGAATACAAGAGTGACATCTTTGGGGAGAGAGGTAAAAAATATTTCTGTCTTGTAATGCCTTGATGTTATCTTTGAAGACTTATTGTCTAACTTCTGCTTTTATGGTTTCTAGGCATTTTACTTGGTGCCGTTCATGGTATTGTGGAATCCTTGTTTAGGAGGTACACTGAACATGGAATGAATGAAGATCTGGCTTATAAGAATACTGTCGAGTCTGTAACAGGAATTATATCTAAAACCATATCAACTAAGGTTGTGATCTCGTGTACTCATATTGCTAAATTCTTGTGTCTTGTTTTTTTTCCCCTGAGCATGTGACTCTGCTTGTGAAATGAACTTTGTTTTTTGTTTCTTTGTCTGGACAGGGCATGTTGGCTGTATACAATGCTTTATCCGAAGAAGGTAAAAAGGAATTTGAGAAAGCATATAGTGCTTCATATTATCCCTGCATGGACATTTTGTACGAGTGTTATGAGGACGTTGCTTGTGGTAGTGAGATTCGCAGTGTTGTTTTGGCTGGGCGGCGCTTTTATGTAAGTGCATTTTCATTTTCCATTTAGAGTTGGTCTTTATGCAACCTACTTTAAATTATACCTGCATTTTACAGGAGAAAGAGGGTCTGCCTGCATTTCCCATGGGTAAAATTGATCAGACCCGAATGTGGAAGGTTGGTGAACGTGTGCGATCTACAAGACCAGCTGGTGATCTAGGCCCACTATATCCATTTACTGCTGGGGTCTTTGTGGCATTGATGATGGCTCAGGTATGTGTACTTATTGTTAGCAATTTGCTTTCTAGCTACTTATTTTACTGATAAATTTGGGAAAAAGATCTTTTACAGTGAGATCATCTCTAAAGTGAGTAATGGTGTACGCAGCCTTAAATTTTAGTGGGTAAAATTTAAAGTGTGTACTTTAATTTAATCTAGAGTAGATACACTGTTACTTGCTTGTCTTAGATGAGGTTTGTCTTCAAATTTGGGACTGACCAGTCATCTCATAATGACAACAGATGAAACTTTTTCCTATGAATTCTGATCATTGTTCATTGCTCTTGTTTATTTTTGCTTGGGTAGCATTAGAATATTATCAAGTTCACATTTTGTTTTGCTTTTTAAATTTTGATTATCATATTCCAGATTGAGATCCTGAGGAAGAAAGGGCATTCTTACTCCGAAATCATTAACGAGAGTGTCATTGAGTCGGTTGATTCTTTGAATCCTTTCATGCATGCACGTGGTGTTTCTTTCATGGTTGATAACTGCTCAACCACAGCAAGGTTGGGTTCAAGGAAATGGGCTCCCAGATTTGATTACATCCTAACCCAGCAGGCGTTGGTGGCAGTGGACAATGGAGCACCTATCAACCAGGACTTAATCAGCAACTTCCTGTCAGACCCAGTGCATGGAGCCATTGAAATTTGTGCTGAACTGAGACCTACAGTAGATATTTCAGTGCCACCAGATGCAGACTTTGTCCGTCCTGAATTGCGTCAATCTAGCAATTAGAACTTGAACCAATCACCGCTTTTCTTGAGCCAACTCCTTTTCGGAATGCTTAGAATAGCCGCTGCCCTGTTCGTTTAAATTTTGTTCACATGGTTGAGTGCTGGCATGGAAGTCTGTATTATTACTCTGTAGTACTAAGATTTTTGAATAAATGTGGAATGTTCCTTAATGTCGTATAAGAAATGAGTTAAATGATTCGAGTGAGTAATTTGCTAATTTTTCTTATGGTACTTCAGTCCGCAGTAACATCACCGCTAAAATAATACATATACCATCTTAAGGATCTTATGATTAATTGCAGCAGTCTTCATTGGAAAAAAAGTCAGTTATTTTGATGAGAAGTGCAAATTTACGTTGTAAAGAGCAAGGCAATGTTTGAAGTGAGATGATGTCTACTACCTTCATCAAATCGTTTGCTACGGAAGCATATGCTGTAAGGTCTGTCTTTGGAAGATGCCAGCAGGCACTTCCCCGTTAGGTGGTTATCTATTCTTAATGCCTAGATTAGAACCGCGTTTGGTAGTCACTCTGCACTAAAGCTGGTTGAGTACATTTATCATCCCCCTCTTATAAAATATTTTATTTTTCTCTGTTTTCAAAACCAATATTAATGTTATTTGAATATTAGGAGTTTAAGTTTATGAAAAGCCGAGATCTGCTAAGGGAGAATCATGCGGAACGTTGTGTTCCAAAGAAGAATTGTGTAGGTTTTGAAAATGGGGAACGGAAAGGTATGTAACTTAAGAAAAAGAAGGGAGAATGAAGTCATTTGCTCTTACTTTCTTCATTGTAGAGAACAAGTATACGAGTTTAGGTAGAGAATATGCACAACTGGTCTAGAAACCACAGTGCATTTAGCTGATAAAGCACAATTACTAAGTTTAGGTATAAATACATAGTCCAGGGAACAGAAGTATAAGTTTGGCATTCTAAGCAGTAGGGTAAGATGCTTGCATTGCAATGCCACACAGTCCTTCCGCAGCATCCACATCCCTTTGCATCCTAATGTACCCTTCTTCACCCCACGTAGTTCCCCAAGAGTTCTTAACTAACCAATACTCAGTTCCATCATCACTAACACCATAACCCACTGCAGTGACACCATGATCCAAATCAGTTCCACATGAACCGGTGAAAACACCACTTTTGTAAAATTGGAAGTCAGAACCACTGGCATCAATGGCTACAGACACTGCTTGATTAGCCACAGCTTTTTGCAGTGCCTTCTCATTGTTAGCTGGGACATCCTCGTACCCAGTAATTGTAGCAGCATGGTTGACTGCTTCATTTGCATTGCATGTTCCATCAACACCCTGATAGGGGTACTTGGCTTCAGTGTTGAGTCCATGATTTTGAATGATGAATTTGAAACCATCATCCATAAGACCACCCTCACAACCTTGGTCTACACCATTTGTGTCACAATCAACAAGTTCTTGTTCTGATAAAGAGATCAGATTTCCAGTACTTAGCTTATGGATTCCTTCAGTGGCAGCAACAGCTGAAAAAGCCCAGCAACATCCTACAAAGTATATTAGAAATATAGTAAATAATCTTTCAATTCTACTTTTTGGCCAGTGATTAATTAATGTGAATGGATTATGAAGCACTTACCACATTGGCCTTGGTTCTTGATGGGTGTCACTGCTCCTTTTTTTCTCCAATCTATTGCGGATGGTACAGCACTCACATTTTCATACTTAAAAGTGGCTGTCCTTGTGATTGAGGAGCACATATGCCCCTTAAATCTATTTCTTGGTGCTATGAACTCCTGATTGGTGAGGTCTGCAAATTCATTAATGCCTAGCTTGTAAGGTTTATTGGCAGCATTGTTGAAAGCCTCAATGTAATTTACATTTTCCTTAAATATCTTGAAGCGCTTTTCTCTTTCTTGGGGGTTCTTATAGACTTTGCCATATTGAGCTATCCATTGTTCATGCCTCTCATACATGGAAGCATCTTGAAGAGTACGAGATGTGACTTGGAAAACGTAGAATCCCAAGCAAAGAAACAGAGCCAATGAAATGTGACGGAGATGATTTTTGGTAACCATGATAGGTACTAACTAGTGTGATAGTGAAAACAACTAGTTCAGCTTGCTTTGTGAAATCCTATAAAGGTGTTGTGCTGGGACCGGAGATTGTTTGAGGTTTATATAGGAAAGTTCACATTGAATTGTAAACTAATCTTTTTAGTTTTTACCTTTTTCTTTTTCTGCGTAGCTGAGAGAATTTCCCGAATAAGACCCATGTGTGTGTGTGTGTGTGTGTGGTCAAGGTACTAAAGACAAGTTAACTGTCAAGGAAACCCCCAAACACATGAAATAAGGAGTTAAAAATTTAAGCTTTTAAAAATCACCATGACCCTCCCACCTCTTAATTTTCACTTTCATATTTGACACCCAAATTGAGTTTTAGCAAAATGACAAGGCTAACTTCAAATTAGACTTAAGAGAAAAAGTAGCATACAGTGCCCATAAAATGTCCACAGCTCAAATATACACGAAACCTTTGCAGAACCCCAACGCATACACGCTCATCATACTGACCTTTAACTTGTCGTTATATTCGTTTGTTGTTAAATAAGAAGTTCCCTATTCAAACTTGATGTAAATTTAACTTATGTCAGTTTATCACGCCACCTCCGATCATGAATTCATAAGAATATCTGTTCAATTATTTGAACATTTTGAATTTGACATTGCTTTAGTTAGGATAAAGTAAAAAATTTAAGTAGTTAAATAAATCAAACATTTATAATAAGTTTAAATTAATTTATATTTTTTAAAAAAATTCTTTCATTTAATTTCTCTAAAACAAAGAGTATAAGTTGTTTTTAATTTATGAAAAAATTATTTATTTTTATATTAATTTTATTGTTTTATAAGGACTTATTTAAAAACTCACTCATATTATGTATAGATTTTTTTAATCTTTTGTTTTATTATTTTTCATATATAAAATAATATACCTAAACTCAAAAGAAGTAGCTTTTAGTTGTTCCATTTTATTGTCAAAATAACATTTTCCTAAGAACATTATGTCCAACCAGGTCTCCTTCATAACTAAGGAAATTTCATGAGGCCATTCCCAATTTCCCTTAATTCAGTTAATTGACCTCGAGTGAATATCACACATTGTTCTTCATGTTTAAGACAAGATATTTAATACACAAAGTTTTTACTTTTTAGAGTTGGATATTTGTAGGTGATTCAATACTAAGATTAGAGTCTCTAATATCATATTAAAAATAAACTGAGTTTAATTTATACTAAAAAACTAACTGAGGAGAAAATGATTTCGTAAGTCTTATAAAGAATTTGCTGGTCATATTCTTAATTCATGTTAGACATGTTATTAGATGTCAATCTTCAACTTTTTGTAAATTACATTTGTTTCAATTCTTAATAATTTTTACTGCAGCAAATGAGAAAAATAAAATGACAAAAGTGTAAAAAATGAATATAAGACAAAGTAAGATATAAAAATACAAGTGTTGATAAAATAATCAAGGCTAATAATTTCCTTATCGATCTCTTCAGTTCTCTTCTGCCATATATTAATTACATTGGATTTGCAATTAACGCAAAATTTCCTTCCCTTCTCTACTACACATGTTTGTCGCACTCCCTAATTATCTAGAAGTAATTATAGTTTTTGATAATCTCCCTAACTATATGCAGGGAATTACAGGCTAGTTTCTGCGAACAAGATATTCTAAAACACGTTATAGTGAGCAAACTGCTCAAGGCTTTCCATGATACTATCATCGTTCTACATGGTCACTGATTAATGAATTCTGCTTCAAGGAATGCCATGTAAGCTCAATAAGAATGATCTTAAATTCAAATCCAGTCACCATTGGTCAAATTAGCTATGTAAGAGTTTTCTTTGGGGGACAATTTGAGGGTCAATCAAAGTAAAGTTAATAAAATAGAACTGAAGCTGATAGGCCTGTCTACAAGGGTGTAACAAGTACCATTCAGTTTTTCATTTTCACTTTTGACTTGTTAGTGTCTGCACTCCTTCAATCTAAATATATATTGCACATTTGCAGGTAAAGATCCCACACTAAGGATAGTATCTTATTCTGCAGGGATCCAGAAATATTTTCTCTGACTATTGAATCATTTTAAGTTCATTCACCACCATAAAAGAAAACTCAACAAGGATGTTTTTATACAAGTCGAAACCATGACACATTTTCTTTGTAATGTATGGTAATTTTGGTAAGTGCAACAATTCACATAGAGTACACAGTGTTATACAAAGGAAGGAATTGAAACTAAAGCAATATCTAGAAAAGAAATGTATATATATGATAAAGGAATAATGGTGTCCAAATTTGATGATTAAGCAGTTGGGTAAGATGCCAGCATTGCAATGCCACAGAGTCCTTCCTTAGCATTCACATTCCTTTGCATCCTAATGTAGCCTTCTTCACCCCATTGGGTTCCCCATGAGTTCTTAATCAACCAATACTCATTTCCATCATTACTAACACCATAACCCACTGCAGTGACACCATGATCCAACTCAGTTCCACATGAACCTGTGAAAACACCACTTTTGTAAAACTGAAAGTCAGAACCACTGGCATCAATGGCGACAGAAACTGGTTGATTAGCCACAGCTTTTTGCAGTGCCTTCTCATTGTTGGTAGGAACATCCTCATACCCTGTGATGGTAGCAGCATGGGTGGCCGCTTCATTTGCATTGCATTTTCCATCAACACCCTTATAGGGGTAATTGGCTTCAGTGTTGAGTCCATGATTTTGAATGATGAATTTGAAAGCATCATCCATAAAACCACCCTCACAACCGTGGTCTACACTGACACAATCAACGAGTTCTTGTTCTGATAAAGATATCAAATTTCCAGTACTTAGCTTATGGATTCCTTCAGTGGCAGCAACAGCAGAAAAAGCCCAGCAACATCCTACAAAGTAAATTAGAAGTTTAGTTATACAATCATTCAATATAATTTGACAAGTGAAAGTGAATGAATTATGAAACGCTTAATTACCACATTGGCCTTGGTTCTTGATGGGTGTCACTGCTCCTTTTTGTCTCCAATCTATTGAGGATGGTACTGCACTCACATTTTCATACTTAAAAGAGGGTGTTCTTGTGATTGAGGATAGCATATGCCCCTTGAATCCATTTCTGGGTGCTTTAAACTCCTCATTGGTGAGGTCAGCAAATTGATTAATGCCTAGTTTGTAAGGTTTATTGGCAGCACTGTTGAAAGCTTCAATGTAATTCACGTTGTCCTTGAATATCTTGAAACGTTTTTGTCTTTCTTCGGGGTCCTTATAGACTTTGGCATGACGAGCCATCCATTGTTGATGCATCTCATATATGGATGCATCTTGGAGAGTGCGTGATGTGACTTGAAAAGCCCAAAATGCCATGCACAAAAGCAATGTCAATGAAATATGAAAGAGTTGATTTTTGGCAACCATGGTGGGTAGTGAAGTGTGACAAGGAAGGGAAGAACTAGTTGAGGTTAGGTAGTGAAATAAGAGAAAGAAGTGTTGAGGTTGTAATGAAGATGATTAGTGGTATTTATAGGAAGAGTTAACGTTGAATGGTGAATTAATCTTAAGAGTTGTCAAATAATTGAAATCTGAAAGCATCTTTCTCTTGTGAATAAGAGTATTGTTACTTGTCGTAGAGGGTTTAAGCTTCGACAACGTACTTTTCCAAGAGAATGTCCGTAGTGGAAAAGTTTCCAATTTTAAAACGGATAATTGTTTGTTGAACAATAGATTGGGATTCTTTCTTTGTCTTTTTTGATTTTATGGTATATTTGTTTAGTAGTATGTATTAAAAGAATATAAATAAAGAGGAAATGATATATGATGACAATTTTTTATGTTTGAATAATGAAACTATAATAAAATAGAGGTTTAATCAATTTTATTTGTCAATAAAAATAGGTTAGGTTGGGTTGAAGTTTGTAAAGCTTTAAATTTATTTGATTCGAATTTAAGATTTATATTTTACTTATTTATTTAATATCAACTATTTTTTTTCAAATTTAATTTGACTTGTTCAAAAGTCTGGTCAGAATTTTTTATATACAGTTTTTTTAATTTAATCTTATTTATCATAATAAAATACTTATTATTTATAAACTTTATTAAATTTAAAAATAATCATATGATATAAATTTAATTATTTATTTAAGTTTTGAATTTAACTATATCCATATAGTGCATGAAAAAATTATTAATTCTAGCTATTTAACTTTTTATATTTAAAAAAATTCAGCAACTTTGATTTTTCTATCAATTTTTTCTTCTTAAAACTTATAAATTTTTAACATATAATATATTATTAAAATATAAATAAATATGAAATATTGATTAACATACTAGTAAATATTTAAAGGACAAAACTTTGGTGCAATATCATAAATATTTGCGATGATTATTTTTCATCAAGATTGAAATAGGTAATTCTTGTAATAAAGGTCGGTTATTTCTTTTTGTTAACAAAGGTTAGGATGATACTTGTTACTGGTGTGAAATTTCAATGATTAGAAAATAACACCTAGTATTGGACTTAAATTTTGTATATAAAAACTGTGTAAAATTTTATATATATATATATATATATAATCATAAAAATAATAGTACATGATTAATTTAAAAAGATTATTAAATAATATAAATTTACAAATTTAATATTTAGTATTAGTGGATACTCTCTGGTGATTAAAATCAATACTATTTCATTCTCTTCATTTAGAAAATTAATCAACTTGTTATCATTATATGTTTGTCATTACTCAACGATGCTTTTTTTAGAAGATAATCAATGCTTAAAAAAATGAAGAAATGTATGTATTATTGTAAATAGTGTAGCAATAGTAGTGTCCAAAATTGACAATTATGCAGTTGGGTAAGATGCCAGCATTGTAATGCCACACATTCCTTGGGGAGCATTCACATTCCGTTGCATCCTAATGTAGCCTTCTTCACCCCATTGGGTTCCCCATGAATTCTTAATCAACCAATACTCAGTTCCATCATCGCTAACACCATAACCCACCGCAGTGACACCATGATCCAACAGAGTTCCACATGAACCACTGAAAACACCACTTCTGTAAAATTGAAAATCAGAACCTTTGGAATCAATGGCTACAGAAACTGGTTGATTAGCCACAGCTTTTTGCAGTGCCTTCTCATTGTTCGGAGGGACATCCTCATAGCCACTAATAGTAGCTGCTTTGTTGCCTTGAGTTGCATTGCATGTTCCACCAAAACCCTGATAGGGATAATTTGATTCAGTTTTGAGTCCATTATTTTGCATTATGAATTTGAAAGCACTGTCCATAAAACCACCCTCACAACCATGGTCCACATTATCACAATCAACAAGTTCTTGTTCAGATAAAGATATCAAATTTCCAGTACTCAACTTGTGGAGTCCTTCCGTTGCTGCTACAGCAGAAAATGCCCAACAACATACTACATAGTATATTAAAAGTATTATTAGATAATCATTTGATTTAATTAGACTTAGAAATGTGAACAAATATATTACCCAGTACTTACAACATCTGTGTTGGTCCTTGATGGGTGTCACTGCTCCTTTTTGTCTCCAATCTATTGAGGATGGAACTGCACTCACATTTTCATACTTAAAAGAGGTTGTTCTTTTGGTTGAGGAAAGCATGTTCCCCTTGAATCCATTTCTTGATGCTATGAACTCCTCATTGGTGAGATCAGAAAATTGATTAATGCCAAGCTTGTAAGGTTTATTGGCAGCATCATTGAAAGCTTCAATGTAATTCACATTGTCCTTAAATATCTTAAAGCGTTTTTCTCCTTCTTGGGAGTCTTCGTAGATTTTGCCAAAACGAACCATCCATCGTTGATGCATCTCATATATGGAGGCATCTTGAAGAGTATGAGATGTGACTCGAAAACCCCACAATCCCATGCATAAAACCAATGCCAATGAAATATGAAGGAATTTACTTTTTGAAGCCATGGTGGCTTGTGAAGTGTTACAACAAAGGGAACAACTACTTCAAGTTGGCTAGTGAGATGTGAGAAAGTTGTGTGCTGTGTTGGCAATCAAGATAAATTTTGGTATTTAAAAGAAAGGTTAACATTGAATGGTAAATTAATCCTGTAGTTTCACCTTTCTCTTCAATTTACCTATGTTAATTTTTTTAACAATTATAATATTATCAATAGTAAAAAGTTATATGTAATAAATTTTTATAAAATTTTTTGACATTTAATACTAATTGAATTACATTAAATTTGAGATTTTTAATAAAATTTTACCATATACAATTTTTATCCTATACAACATTAATTGCTGAAGTTAAAAAAATTAATTTTCAAACATAACCCTTGTTTTAAGTCTAAATATAAAGATATTGATTAATTTTATGGGTGTGTAAATTGAAAAAAAAATAGAATTATAAGAATAAATTAAGGTTCGAAAATATAATTATGTATGGATATTGCTAAATCATAACTGAATGAAAGTTTGCATTCTTTTGTACTAAATTTATCGTAATATATTTAGCAGAATGATTTTCCTTCGCAATAAGTACAATTTGTTAATTTATTTTTTTTATTTACTAAAAAGAAGATATTTTTTCATGGACAACAAACAAAACAACTAATATTTATTGCATTCGTGCTATAAAAGTTATTTTAAATATAATACTTTTACTCAGTTTCCAAGTCAAATCTCAAAACTCTTTTTTTTTAAAAGCACCTGTGGTAATTTTTAAATAAATTTTTTAACTTATATAAAATTATATATGATAAAAAGTTATATATAATAATTTTTTTTAAAAAAATTATAGCATTTAATATTATTAATGCATTAAATTACATTAAATTTATGTTCTTCAATAAAATTTTACTATACATAATGTTTTATACTATACAATATTATATTACATAAACTTAAAAAAATCATTTTTCAACTATGATTTTGTTTTCAAGTCTAGTTACAAAGATCATGTCGTGTAAATTAAAATACTTTAGAATTATAAAAAATAAAAGTTTATAAATATAATTACATACATGTATATTTTTTATATAAATTATATGTATTATTTATTAAATATAATTTTGTTTAAAATAACTCATTTAGTAAGACTTAAATTCAAAATTATAAGTTAAATTAAAATAATTATATATTAGTCAATTCACTTATTGAATAATATAATGTGTACATATTACAAATTTATAATTAAATGAAAATTTTCATTTTTCTATAATATATATATATATATATATATATATATATATATATATATAACTTTTATACTATAAATATATTAGAAGTTGTGAAATATACTGATTAATAATAACAAGCGATAACAAATTTTCGACGTATGCCTTAATAAGAAGATAGAGGCATGGGGCATTTTTATGCATGCTTCCATAGATATTAAAATACTTAACTATTTTCATAATACAACTTTTAATGAGATAGAAAAGAAAAATCAAAATAATTAATTACCTTCTATATATTTTACAAAAGGACAACTACATGATTATTTGCACATGTTTAATATTCATATTTTTCTCCTCTAAATTTCTTCGTATATAATTTGTTTTTCTATTATAAATTTGGATACCTATCCTGAACGATAATATTTATAAATTTATATTTAATTTATTTAAAATTTAATAATATATTTAAGTACATTAAAATAATTTTTTATCATTAGAAAAACTAAATATTTTCATTCTAATTTTTATTAAAATATTAGGTATATTACCTTTTTAATCCTTTATCAATACTTATAAAAATATTATTAAATTAAAATAATATAAATTAGGTGCATGAGTGCATTGAAAAAATATTATAACATTTTTTTTGAGTAATTAATATACTTTTTAATGAATTCAACTCTTATAGTTTATTGAAAATGTTCTCTCCCTCTAAAATTAATTTTTATGATCTCACGTGAAAAAAAAAACCCTAGAATCCTCACACTAAAATTGTTGGAACAGCTCTTTATATATATTAATAATTTTAGATTCTCATACCTTTTATTTTCACAAATACTCTTAATTAGTAAATTAAATTTAAGATCTTATAATCTTAATTTGAATTTAATTTAGGTATTTTTTTAAAAACTAATTAAAATGCACTAATGATACAAAGATTTTTACACTTATCTGATCATATAATATGATATTGATTAAAAGTGTTGACTTTTGAGATGATTAATTTAAGTTATTTTTATTGTATATTTTAATTATTTGATACTATAAATTTTTGTATTAATAATCTAATACAATTAAATTTCTTTATATTAATAATGAACATTGTATTTTTATTATACATGAATACATTAATAAGATAAGACTTTTGAAATTAAAAAATATAAACATAAATTATTTGAATTAAAACACCTCATCTTCTTAAAATTAATGTAAGAAAAATCAAGTAAGTTAATAAAAAATCTTAAAATTACTCTCAATCAGAAATAAATATCCAAATTAATAATATAAATTATATACGAAGAAATTTGCAGGAGATGATATTGTTATCAAGCATGAGCAAATTATCATGTAGTTGTACTTCTGTAAAATATATAAAAGTTAACTAAATACTTTAACTTTTCTTATTTGCATCGCATTAAAAAAAAATTATTATGAATATATTTAATTATTAAGTTATTTATGTTTAAGGACGTGTGCATTGAATGCTCCATGCCTCTATATATTTATTTAGGGCATACGTCGATTATTTAGCATCACTTTGTAATTATAAACTAGTGGTTTTAAAAAATATTTTTAATTTAATATTTTAGATGTTATATATTTATACTATAAATATTTTTGTGTTATCTCATGTATATAGTTCTTGACTTTTCGTGTATTTTATCCTTTCATGTATTTCATCTTTCATTTTTTTTATTTACTAGCCTATTACTTTTTTCTAACACTAAAAAATTAAAAGAAGAATTCTAATAATACATATGAAATATTAAATGATATAAAATTTTAAATATGTGAAATATATCAATTAATAAATATTATATGAATATATATATATATATATAATTTTTTGAATATCAATGTACATAATAATTTTTTTATAATATATTAAAAGCTCATGAACTTCAATTTCTATTTATTTACAAATTTTGAAAAACATAACTACAAAAAGATTTAAAAATTAAAATTTGAAAGGTCAAAGATATGAAAAGTCAATACAAATATACATAAAATAAATGAAAAGGTAATGAAAAAAAAATGAAGTAACTAAATTCAAGTCACTTTAATAAAGTAAAAAAAAAATGTTTTGCGACTATTTTAGTGGAACAAATTGTATACATTATATATTGTATATAGAAAAGTATATATTTTAAGTTTAATTATGATTTAAAATACTATATTATAAAATTATAATTTATATAGCACGAATACAAATATTATATAGTTGTTTTGTTAGTTTCCCGCGTAAAAGCACCTTCTTTTTGATACATGAAGAAAATAGAAAATTAACACTGACATTCGGTTATGCATTAACAATATGCATGCACATAAAGTTAATTGAATTTTCACACCTTTATTTTTATAATCCAAAATTTTCAAATTTGCATGCATGTGAAGTTAATGCCTCTATACCAAGACTTTAACTCAAGGGTGGTTCATATTCAAAAAATTATCACAGCTACATTATACATAGACGAGAAAACTACAAGATTAATTTATCATTCACCGCTAACCTTTTCCCTATAAATACAACAAATTATCTTAATTGCCAGCACAACACATCTTTCTCACATATCACTAGCCACCATGGTTGCAAAAAATCAATTCCTTCATATTTCATTGGCATTGGTTTTGTGCATGGGATTGTGGGGTTTTCAAGTCACATCTCGCACTCTGCAAGATGCATCCATGTATGAGAAGCATGAGCAATGGATGGTGCAATTTGGCAAAGCCTATAAAGACTCCCAAGACAGAGAAAAACGTTTTAAGAGATTTAAGGACAATGTGAACTACATTGAAGCTTTTAACAATGCAGCCAATAAACCTTACAAGCTAGGCATTAATCAATTTACAGACCTCACCAATGAGGAGTTCATACCATCAAGAAATGGATTCAAGGGGAACATGCTCTCCTCAATCAAAAGAACAACCTCTTTTAAGTATGCAAATGTGAGTGAAGTTCCATCCTCGATAGATTGGAGACAGAAAGGAGCAGTGACACGCATCAAGAACCAAGGCCGATGTGGTAATTAAATGCTTCATAATATATACATTCACAATCATAAGTCAAATTAAATTGAATGATTATCTAATTATACTTTTAATTTACTATGTAGCATGTTGTTGGGCATTTTCTGCTGTGGCAGCAACTGAAGGACTCCACAAGTTGAGTACTGGAAATTTGATATCTTTATCTGAACAAGAACTTCTTGATTGTGAAACTGTGGACCACGGATGTGAGGGTGGCTATATGGACAATGCTTTCAACTTCATAATTCAAAATAATGGACTCAACACTGAATCAAATTATCCCTATCAGGGTTTTGGTGGAACATGCAATGCAAATGAAGGCAACAAAGCGGCTACCATTAGTGGCTATTAGGATGTCCCTCCCAACAATGAGCAGGCACTGCAAAAAGCAGTGGCTAATCAACCAGTTTCTGTAGCCATTGATTCCGAGGGTTCTGATTTCCAATTTTACAGAAGTGGTGTTTTCAGTGGTTCATGTGGAACTCTGTTGGATCATGGTGTCACTGCTGTGGGTTATGGTGTAAGTGATGATGGAACTGAGTATTGGTTGGCTAAGAACTCATGGGGAACCCGATGGGGTGAAGAAGGCTACATTAGGATGCAAAGGAATGTGAATGCTCCTCAAGGAACGTGTGGCATTGCAATGCAAGCATCTTACCCAACTGCGTAATTATCAAGTTTATGGACACCACTGTATATTGCTAGACTATTGACAATGATACATTTCCTTTTCCTTTTAAGGTTGATTATTCTCTTCATGAACAATGTATTTATCAATTACAATATAATATAATACATTTCCTTTTATGACAGACAAGCGCATACTCACCACAGGTTTAATTTTCTTTGTGTGAATGAACTTGTACTGATTTTCAATACCTGAGAAATAGTTTAAGGATCCCAAAAACATGAGACATTATTGTCGGTTTGGAATCTTGAACCAAAACATTTTTTAACGTATTTTTATTTGTTTTGCTATGTAACTTTTTCTATATCAAGTATTAAATTTTATAACATTAATGTTAATTTTTTAATTATTTATTGCTTAGTTTTAAAAATATATATTTTTAATTTACTTCTATTTAATATAATAGAATGTTTATTATTAATAATAAAATATTAATTTTAATTTATAAGATTTATTAAATTTAAGATAATCATAATAATAACAAGAAGAATCAATTTTTTCAAATTAAGTGCAAAAACAAAGAAAATAATATATGACAGAACAAGAAAAGAGATAAGAATTTGTTATTTTTTTTGTATTTATATCTATTTATAATATATTTTTTAAACACAGACTATTATATTATCTTATCAACAGTTTAATGGGTATCTCGCACTTCTCCTTCGATTTCGCAATTTTAAAATTTTTGTGCTTTTTAACTCCAAAGATATGGTCACAATGTCACTCTTTTACATTATTGAATACTCTTAATTTCATTTCTCACTCTAAGTTTAATCTTATACTTTTAGTGTCTTTACAATTACTTGATCTTTGATAAAAAAATAAACATAAAAAAGTATGTGATTGATCTCTCACCTTACTCTTATTTCATAACGATCGATTACTCTTATTAATTACTAGTACTGTTCTAAGCATGTGAGATTACTTTTTCTATAATTTATTAAAGGATAAATTCCAAAGTTAATAAAATCATTAAACTCAATTTATAAAATAATTATATATTATATTTACATAATCTAATAACATATGAGATAAGTTTTGATTATGATAATATTAATAATGAACACTTTTTATATTCAGCTTTAAAAAAATTCCATTAAATAATTTTTAGACAGAAAAATTTGATAGTAGATATATTAAGTTGATAACCATTTAATATATAAATTCATATGTAGCATTCTACTTTGTATCTTTTTCTAAATTCAATACCTTTAACGTGATTTTTTTATGTTTTCATTGACAAACGACAGTACTTATATATATAATAGTAGATGTTATAGGGAAAAAAATAATAAATCATTCGTTTAAGAGCTAGAGCAAAATATTATTTTATACAAATATAATAATATTCACATTCTCTTTGAAAACTACCTTGGCACCGTGTGTCGAAGACTCAAAGCCACTACGACAAGTCATTTGTCCACACAGTACCAATATTCGGATTGAAGATCTTATTCAGAAAAATCCCACACTCGATCACAAGAGAAAGATGCTTTAAGATTTGAATTGAAAGCTCCAAAATTAATTTACCATTCAACGTTAACTACCTATAAATACCACTGATATTCTTCACTACCACCACAACACATCTTTCTCATATTTCAATACCTAAGATTTCAGCTAGTTCTTCCTTTCTTGTAAAACTACACACTACCCATCATGGTTCTCAAAAGTCAACTCTTTCATACTGCATTGGCATTGCTTTTGTGCATGGCATTTTGGGCTTTTCAAGTCACATCACGCACTCTCCAAGATGCCTCCATATATGAGATGCATCAACAATGGATGGCTCGTCATGCCAAAGTCTATAAGAACCCCCAAGAAAGACAAAAGCGTTTCAAGATATTCAAGGACAACGTGAATTACATTGAAGCTTTCAACAATGCTGCCAATAAACCTTACAAGCTAGGCATTAATCAATTTGCTGACCTCACCAATGAGGAGTTCATAGCACCCAGAAATGGATTCAAGGGGCATATGCTGTCCTCAATCACAAGAACACCCTCTTTTAAATATGAAAATGTGAGTGCAGTACCATCATCAATAGATTGGAGACAAAAAGGAGCAGTGACACCCATCAAGAACCAAGGCCAATGTGGTAATTAAGCGTTTCATAATTAATTCACATTCACTTGTCAAATTATATTGAATGATTGTCTAACTAAACTTATAATTTACTTTGTAGGATGTTGCTGGGCTTTTTCTGCTGTTGCTGCCACCGAAGGAATCCATAAGCTGAGTACTGGAAATTTGATCTCTTTATCAGAACAAGAACTCGTTGATTGTGTGAGTGTAGACCACGGTTGTGAGGGTGGTTTTATGGATGATGCTTTCAAATTCATCATTCAAAATCATGGACTCAACACTGAAGCCAATTACCCCTATAAGGGTGTTGATGGAAAATGCAATGCAAATGAAGCGGCCACCCATGCTGCTACCATCACAGGGTATGAGGATGTTCCTGTCAACAATGAGAAGGCACTGCAAAAAGCTGTGGCTAATCAACCAGTTTCTGTCGCCATTGATGCCAGTGGTTCTGACTTTCAGTTTTACAAAAGTGGTGTTTTCACAGGTTCATGTGGAACTGAGTTGGATCATGGTGTCACTGCAGTGGGTTATGGTGTCAGTGATGATGGAACTGAGTATTGGTTGATTAAGAACTCATGGGGAACCCAATGGGGTGAAGAAGGCTACATTAGGATGCAAAGGAATGTGAATGCTAAGGAAGGACTCTGTGGCATTGCAATGCTGGCATCTTACCCAACTGCTTAATCATCAAATTTGGACACCATTATTCCTTTGTCATATATATACATTTCTTTTCTAAATATTGCTTTATTTTCAATTCCTTCCTTTGTATAACACTGTATACTCTACGTGAATTGTTGCACTTATCAAAATTACCATACATTACAAAGAAAATGTGTCATGATTTTGACTTACACCAAAACATCGCGAGTTTAATTTTCTTTTAATAGTCAGAGAAAATAACAAATCATAAGTGAATATGAATAACTGAATTGTACTTGTTACACCCTCATAGACAGGCCTAACAATTTTATTTATATTTTCTAACATTTTAATAACTTTACATTGATTGACCATCAAACTGTTCCCCAAAAGAAAATTCTTACATATATACCTAATTTGATGAATCGTGACTGGATTTTGAATTTAAGGTCATTCTAATAGAGCTTACACGACCCTCTCTGAAGCAGAATTCAATATCCGGTGACCCTGTAAAACAATGATCGCATCATGTTATTCGATAACAAAGTTCTACGACGCTGGATTAACAAGTTTAAAGGTATATATGTAAGAAGGATTACGACTCTAAATTGTTAAAATATTTTAAACAAATAAGTGACTTAAATTTGCTCTTTCTCTTTCATATTGGATCCACGCTTAAATTATAAATTCTAATGTAACATCGGAGCTTAATAAAAGAAATGAAAAATAAAGATGAAAGATCCAAAATAAAGAAAAGGAAACAAGAAAAATGAAAAACAAAATGGGCTAGGAAAATTCACCCGACATTCAAATAATTATTCAGTATTTACAATAAAGAAAATAAAGAAAAAAATTAAAAAATAAATATAAAATTACTGTGCACAATTAATTAAATCAAAGTTGCCATCTACTATAATAGTATATCTCGACGGGACGACAACGCAGTTCCTAAAAAGAGAATAACAGTATTCAACTCTTGCAACTTAAGCATAATAATGGATATTAATAAAAAAACAATTAACAAAGCTCTTAGATAAAGTAAAAACATACTATAATTTTGTGCAGTATAATAATAACATCAACGTGATGAGATTATTCATATTTTAATAAAATGTTATTAAATAACTTTTTGCATGTTTAAAACTCATAAATTCTACAATTTTATGACTTTTATGTATCGCATGGATTTATATTTAATTTATATTTTATAATTATTAACTTACTAGTTAGTTTTATTTATAAAACTCATTAGTTATTTTTTAATGTTTTACTTTAGTTCTTAAAAGAGAGTTTTTTTTTTTTTTTTATCAATCGAGAGTAACTTCAAGTTTAGTAACTGCGCATAAATAAATTTAGAATTTCAACGGTGGAGAATGATAATTAAAGGATTATGTCCAACAAATAAATAAAATTAGGATTAAACAGTAGAGGATTAACTTCAAGGGATTTAGTTGCACTTATTCACTCGTTTTATAAATTTAGTAGTTCATTGAATAAACATCTTGGTGACACCATAAGAATAACTTGACTACATGTCCAGCAGGAGTAGACCAATTCATGTTAACATATATCTCACCTCAAACATTCTCAATTATCATATATATAAATCATTCGATTTTAAGGCCCCCCACATATTAGTCGTTGTTATTCAACAAATAGAGTATCCCTTTAAGAACAATTATCTTAATTAAGGGAAATTGTATGAGATTTCCTTAATTATCAATGACGCATGGTTGCACAGAAATTTCAACTGAGGCACTACTACTTTAACAGCAAGTTATTATAACGACAAGTAAAGGGTCAGTATGAACATGGACGAGTTGATGTTCTGCAAACGTTTCGTATAGAAACTTCCGCTTAGACGTTACGTTTTGTGAGCACTGTATTGTCCTAAGGCTAAATTCAAAGCAGTATTGTCATTTCACTAAAACTCAATTTGGGTGTCAAATGTAAGAATTAAAAGGGGTATGGTGATTTCAGAATCTTCCATTTTATTTTATTTTTCTTAAAAAAAAGCTTAAATTTGTAATTCTCCTTAATTTCATGTTTTTGTGGTTTCCTTGACAGTTAACTTGTCTCTAGTACCTTGACCCTACGCACACATGGGTCTTATTCGGGAAATTCTCTCAGCTACGCAGAAAAGAAAGGTAAAATGCCAAAAGATTAGGTTACAATTCATGTGAACAACTCTCCTATATATACCTGAAATAATCTCCAGTCCCAGCACAACACCTTAATAGCATTTAACAAAGCAATTGTTTTCACTATCACACTACTTAGTAGTTATCATGGTTCCCAAAAATCAACTCCATCACATTTCATTGGCTCTGTTTCTTTGCTTGGGATTCTACGCTTTTCAAGTCACATCTCGCACTCTTCAAGATGCTTCCATGTATGAAAAGCATGAACAATGGATGACCCGCTATGCCAAAGTGTATAAGGATCCCCAAGAAAGGGAAAAGCGTTTCAAGATATTTAAGGAAAATGTGAATTACATTGAGGCTTTCAATGATGCTGCCAATAAACCCTACAAGCTAGGCATTAATCAATTTGCAGACCTTAGTAACGATGAGTTCATAGCAACCAGAAATAGATTCAAGGGGCACATGTGCTCCTCAATCACAAGAACAGCCACTTTTAAATATGAAAATGTGAGTGCAGTACCAACCTCAATAGATTGGAGACAAAAAGGTGCAGTAACACCCATCAAGGACCAAGGCCAATGTGGTAATTAAGTGCTTCTTAATTCATTCACATTCACTAGTCAAATTAGATGGAATGATTATCTAACTATATTTCTATTTTACCTTGTAGGATGTTGTTGGGCTTTTTCTGCTGTTGCTGCAACTGAAGGAATCCATAAGCTGAGTACTGGAAAATTGATCTCTTTATCCGAACAAGAACTCGTTGATTGCGACACAAAGGGTGTGGACCAAGGTTGTGAGGGTGGTCTTATGGATGATGCTTTTAAATTCATAATTCAAAATCATGGACTCAACCTTGAAGCCAGTTACCCCTATAAGGGTGTTGATGGAAAATGCAATGCAAAAGAAGCAGCCAACAATGCTGCTACAATTACTGGGTACGAGGATGTCCCCGCCAACAATGAGAAGGCACTGCAAAAAGCAGTTGCTAATCAACCAGTTTCTGTCGCCATTGATGCTAGTGGTTCTGACTTTCAATTTTACAAAAGTGGCGTTTTCACTGGTTCTTGTGGAACTGATTTGGATCATGGCGTCACTGCAGTGGGTTATGGTGTTAGTGATGGAACTGAGTATTGGTTGGTTAAGAACTCATGGGGAACTACGTGGGGTGAAGAAGGGTACATTAGGATGCAAAAGGATGTTAGTGCTGCAGAAGGACTGTGTGGCATTGCAATGCAAGCTTCTTACCCAACTGCATGATTATCAAATATAGACACCCTAAACTATGTATATACAGTTCTATTTGTGTTTGAAGTCTCAATTCCTGCTATCACTTGTGTACGACTGTGTGATAGTGCACCCTCTACATGAATCATTATACTTATGAACTACTGTAATACAAAAATTGAGTAATGATTAATAGTTATGACATACTTGTGCATTTTTTTAAAGTGATTGTGCTAGTCTGTGATCTTTACATAGAATATACATTAGCAAACGTGATATACAGAAAAAAGTGAAATTGAATAAATGATATAATAAACATAATCCATCTTGCACTGTTATTTTGAAAACCAGGGAAATTTAGGGAAAAACCTGTTGTGAAAAATAAACGATAACAAATAATTAACAAACTTGTAACGAACTAGTGAAATAAAGCGCGTGGAATAGCCGAACAGGGGTATAAAACTTGCGGTTCCCTCTTGCTCTCTGTTTTGAATTGCAATGGCAGAAGAATTACCAACGGTGATGGCGATTGAGTCACACTCGCACGCGAGCTCCACGAAGAAACGACCTTCGAAGAACGATAAGTTGTGTCTCGAGGATTACCTTCACCTCCTTCATTCTCGCCAAACGCTTCACCTCACCGTGAATCAACTCAATCAAGTTCCATTCGTTCTATTCACTCTTCAATTTTCATTTTCAAAATTTTTTGTTCTTCCTCTCTAAACACTCTCCAATTCATTTTTCCTTATTGCAGGTTGTCCGCATTCACGGCTTCAAGAAAATCCACCATGCTCCCAAGGTACTGTTCTCATTCGCCGATTTATTGAGGTTTTTAAATTCACCGTTCATAAGTAAATTTAGAAAATATAATCGTTAAACTTTAGGAGTTAGTTAAGAATCTCTGTTTGGCTAAACGAGAAAAGTTAAGTCGAAACGACTAGGATATTTTCTGTTACTTTCACGGCGCGAATCTGCGAGAAGAACGAGAGATTGTTCTCGAAATTTCAAAGAGCGCGTCTGGATTTCGTTCGCAGAAGTTGTTGGTGGACGCCGTGGAGTCGCTCGATCTGGTGGATCTTGCGCGGTCCACTCTGAGCGAGAGCGTTTCGGCGTTCGACGCCGTGACGCTGGAGGACTTGGTGGCGGATCTCGGCGACCTGAAGTGGCAAGAGTGCTGCGTCACCTCCGTCAAAAAATTCAGTTTCTGCGACGGTGAGAGCATGTTCCCGGCTTCCTCCGATCAAAGCCTTCGAGTCATGACTCAGAATCACTCGCAGTCGATGACTCAGAAATCGAAAAGGATCGACGAAACCGGTAACCACATTCCAGAAGCTTCCAGGAAAAGCCTGAAAACCTCGAAAATGATGCCAAAGCGTATAAGGAGCAGCGCTCGCGCTCTTGACTCTGTTGCCTCCACTGTGGATTCTGCTTCTCTCGCTTCATGCTGAATGAATCACCTTTGGTTCCTTTTTATTTCTCGTTCTTTCCTTTTTTCCGTTATAGTAAGAAGAAAATGATTCAAATGACTTAAAATGAATTGTATGAATCACCTTCCAACGCATTATACCATTTAAATTGGAATTGAATTATAGTAGATACGAGAGTGGATATGATACTTCATATCAATATTGAAGACTTAACACATATTCTGCTATGACATATCATACCCCCATTTTATTTTTGCAATCATATTTCAAAATTATTTACCCTGCAGGCATGGATTATTGTCAGAAGACTGAACTATTTGATAAGGCAAGGAAGATCCACAATAATGGGTATTTCCCTAATTTAAACAATGAGAGTATATCTTGGAGTGCCAAGAACAGCCAGATCATACTTTTACTTTCCATCTTCCACATTTTGTGGCAACATAATATAAAGGATTTGAAGTCAAAATAATATGTAAGTGCTATGCGTTATTTTTTTAAAATACTAGCAGAGAGAATGCATCAACATTAGAATCGTAGAAATAAAGCACTAAATATAAAGGAAGAATTCTCATATGGAATAATTACTAGGTAATAATGTAATAGTCGTTAAACATAACTCACGTGGAAACACAAATGAAATTCAACCTATGCGAAGAAAATACCTTACTCAATGGCACTAAGAAGAATGACTTGTTATTCAAACAACTGCAAAGAGTCTTTCCCTTAATTTCACAGTTACAAGAACGAATAATCATTAATACCAATCCCCACAAAAACAAAAAAAAAACTAACTAATTTCTTTTCCACAAGCTGCATGTCTGAAGAGAAGAGATTCATACATATATACATAACACTTACCTCCATGTTGTGGGATGTCTGAAGTGAACTATAAGTGTTCTGGTAACACTTACCTCCATGTTGTGGGATGTCGGAAGTCCACAAGGTAATGTTATCCCTACATAATCAAGGTGCTATCACTTATAGGGGTAAAGCCCGGAAATAGCATATTAAAGGCTTGCTTTGCAAAAAAAAAAAAAAAAAAAAACTACACTTTCCCACATTGAACACAACATCAACATATATTATTTTTGGATAGAAATTAAGAGTTCATTCAGGTTAAAGTTGAATAAAATTAACTTTAATGAAACTATTATGAATTGTTAAATATTTTTAAGATATGTGCATATTAATCTAAATCACATTTTTTTTTATTAAAACGTGTTATTAATTCTTCTATTATAAAATAAAAAGTCTTAAAATCCACAAATCTCGTCATTTTTTTCATATAGTTTTTTTTATAAAAAATTTATCTAAATATAGAATTTGGGACCATATTACTAGAATATGGCATTTTGGGTCAAACCAAAAGTCGCCAGTGGTGAATTTTGAAAATTTTATAAAAAATTATTATTATTTTAAAAATTATTGATGGTGAATTTTATTTTTTTTTATTTTTTAATATATTTTTTAAAAATGGCAAGTAACGAGTCTTGAAACTTAAAACTTTTTTCGTTATTTCTTCATTACTTACACTAAAAATTGTTAGTGATGATTTTTAAATCACATATTTTCATAATTTAAAAAAAAAATCATATTTTGGTATTTATATTTTTAAAATACTATATATAAAAAAATAATCCACAGACCTCTCACTTAAATGTTCTTAAAATAAAAAATTATGAAATAGGTTGCTAAATAAGGAAGGTTAATGGTAAGGGAATAAGTACAACTAGTCTATTAGAGTACCAAAATTTTATTCATTTAGTGATTCACAAAATTTAAATTAAAATATTATTGTTATTATTTTAAGGACATGGAGTAATTTGAAATGGATATACCAAAGGTAAATGGTCTGAACACCCGCACGTAAAGACACCGTAGGGTCCTTGTTAAAGTTTTGATGTGATAAGTAAAGAAGAAAAATTATAAATTATAGAAATCTATAACAAGTTTCAACATAAAATACAACAAAATAATATACTTAAAATTATGGTAATTCAATTCCATGCCAAAATTAGTCTAAACAATACAAGTTTTTGTTCCCCCTAATTAATCAGCGTTTGCTCTATTTAAGACTGCAGAACACAATTTCCTAGTATATCAATCATGATGAGAAATCCTAGATTCAAGGCTGCTGTTCCTCAAAAGGTTTTTCTTCCAACATTGATGTTTGGAGCATTGGCACTGATTTTTCTTCAAACTTTCACCGCCCTCTCCCTTCTCCCCTTCATCTCCTTCAACCTTCCCCTGGCCACTGCTTTCTCCCACAGAAAATGACCTCCCAAAATCCATTGCAGCCTTTTCATCACTCCGCTCTTTCTGCTTACACTCTCTACACTCCTCTCTCATTCCCTTCTTTCCTCTAATGCTCCTCAGTTGCTCAAAACCAAAAGCGAGTCTCAATGCATCATTTAACGAATTGGGTTTCTGCATGAGAACCCAATCATGAAAATCTTCTCTCAATCCATCAACAAACACCCCTTTGATCAAATCCTCATTCAACTCATGTTCTTGCCACCGCTTCAAAACCCATTGCAATCTCAAAAAATAGGACCTAACGCTTTCTTCCTCACCCTGATGAATCCCCATAAGTTCTGACCTCAACCCGTCAACGGGTTCAAACATATAATAAGCTTGTAAAAACGACAACTTTACCTCGTCCCACGAAAGAGAAGAGTAATAGGGCTCGATGTTAAGGTCGTACCAGAGTGCAGCTTCGTCTTCGAGAGTGACGGGGAAGATCTTCATCATCATGTCGATCGAGGAAGCGTTGTTTGCTCTACAAACTTTGTTGAATCGGCTCAAGTGGGTGACTGGGGATTCGCCTTTAGTGCCGCGAAAGATGGGTAAAGGAGCAATTTTCACGTATGAAGAAGCGTTTATCGTGGGTTGTGATGCTGGGTTGGGAATATCAGAAGCGGAGATTGAAGGGGTTTCGGGAACGTAACTTTGTGGTGGTTGTGAGAAAGATGGGTCGTAGGGTGGTGCATTGGACACTGATTCAGAACCTAAAGCGTCATCATCTTCATCTTCGTCTTCTTGTTCTGGTTCTTCAAATTGTTCGTATTCATCTCCCTGAGAATCAGAAGCGTCTTCATCATCGTAGTCGTTGTAGTTTTCTTCTTGTAGCAGTACCTTTTGTGTTGAAATTCTACGACCATGCGTTGGAACAGTGGGAACAGAATATGAGGGAGATTCAGATGTTGTTGAGCGGTGTTTACGAGTCATGTTGGATTTGATTTGTCGTCAACAATGTTGTTTGGGAAACGTAATGTAATATGTCTCAGAAAAGTGTAGAGATGGTTGTTTGGTTTGGAAGAAAAATTAACTGCCGGTAACTGTTGAAATTTTTAACTTTTTGGTTTCTTTATTTTTTATTTTGTCACGGTTAACGTTAATTGGAGAAGAGGCGTATGCATAAGACAAGTGGAAAATCAATTGTTTAGAATGATCAATTATCTTAAGAAACAAAAAAAATTTAGATTTACAGTAAATAGAATTAGGTTTAAATATAAGACTTTTTCAATATTTTTGTAATTATAATTTACTAATTAAATCAAATTTAAAGAAGTTGTTAAAATATTATTCATAAAGGAAAGTATTTTCTTTAAAAGAGTGAGCATGTAAAAATGCACTTGCTCATTTGATTTGAAGATTCTCATCATCTTGAATTCACCGAGTGCTTGTTAAGTTAGAAGTTTCAAATCATAAAAATGTAGCCCCAGTAAAATGAAAGATCGAACTTGTTTATACATAAATCATGAACGTGTTTAATTCGCTATAACTTAAGCACGTGAAGAGAGCTAAACTTAAAAGACTAGTCCAATAAAGGAGAAAAATTTAAGGCTTAAACACCATATTAAGATGTGAAATCTATAACAAAACTTACAGCTCAAGACAAGATATATGTGCAAACAATAGCCACGCAAGCATGAGCAGATCATGCATATTACTTTCACCTCAGCCTCATATTTCCCTAAAGCCATAGTTTTAAAACTAAATCCCAAAAATAAAATAAGCTTTCAAACTTGTAGAATAAAGTGGAATGGAGCAAGATTTTATTTAGTTTCATTATATTACTAAAACATTAATAGATTGAAATGGTCATATATCTTACTCTATTTATATCTTTCGTTTTTTATTTTTTTCTCAATTTTGGGAATATATGATGGGATTTATAATAATTAAATTTTAATTCCAATTGTCCTATATTTAACTTTCCATTCCACGTGGTTTGGACACTATCACTCATCATCTCCTTAGACTAGGTCACAACCCTAAACCCTATATATATAAATTATTCAAGGGATGAATAAGTATTAACTTTTGGTATATTTTTTATCGTTCATTAAAACTTTTTCTTTACTTATTTAGTAGGACCAAAACTATTTCTTTCTGGTTAATTTATAATAGATATTTTACTTTATATTATTGCATTCTATTATATTAAATTTTTATTACATTCATTATTAAATACCCAAACAAAACATAACTCGAAGAATTAAAATAACATGATAAATACTTATTGCATTATTTAGATGTGTAAGATAAAGTTATTTTATTATATACAAAAAAATTATAGGTCAACGACAACCACAAATTACAAGTAAAAATTATTTTTAGACCTTTTGAATTTGAAAAGTACCCCATAGTCTCCCTTAGACAAAGGAAAAACAAATATATCTAAACAAAACCTAAAACAATGGAGAACCCTCCCCAAAAAATAATTGCACTTGATGTGAGCAATATATATACAATAATCTATATTAGATCGATTTTGTTTATTATTTACCTGTCCCATGGCGTGTATGCTTTAATTAACATAGTAAAATAGTTCATTAATAATTTATAGACCAAGTTTATGTATCAGTCATGAGAAAAATTCACCTAAGATTCGTAAAAGATATCATGTTTTAATATATAAAACCATAATTCAACATCGTCATACATCAATACTGATATGAAACATAACTAATGGAGCCATGGCATATGCCAATTTGGGAAGAATAGGCAGCACATGGCTGATAAACCACCATCAGATAGACTAACACATCAAGCAAAGTACGTAACCTCTTTGTAACAAATACTACTAAAACTATATTAATGCTGCTTATATGTTCCTTGAGAAACCTGCACATTGATTTCCAAACAAAAAACTGTGTTTCGTTGAAACTTCAACTTGACCAAAATGCTAATTGATGCTACTTCACCAGTAAATTGGGCACTTTAACTACTGTTCCCCATGCCTATATGTAAGAAGACTCTGTTGTGTATGGCTAGTCTTGCCATGCTTTAAGATTTATTCACCATCCATAAATATTATAATGTTGTTACATAGATTTGAAAGGTATATGGCTACTCTCTTTTTGGCCCTTTTCAGTGGTCTCTATTTTTGAAGTTTCTATAAGTAATCATTTGGCCTTCCTTTTGTTATTTACACCTAGTTGAAATACTTTGATCCCTTTCAGTGTTCTGTTCTCTCTGAAGGCACTGTCTTCAGCTTTTTATGGAATCTGATCGAAAGATAAACCAAACAACCCACTGTTGTGTTACTAGAGAAAATGCCTTTTGAAGGCAAAAAGATACCTACAACATAAAATGCTTGTTCATAGGAAGGGCTAGAAGCCTAGAGAACTTGGGAACATTGTAAAAGTTATGTTATCCCCAGTTTCGTATCTTGTGATCTTTTTTTTATTTGAGTATACCTTGTGAATCTGAAAATGCACATTAAGATTGCTATAATTATGTTAAAATCTTAGGATAGAATGGAAAAGATGAAAGTGGAAAGATAATAAAATATTTATATCTATTCACATATCTTAGATAAAGTACAGGAGAAAGAGTGTTTCATTGAACAGAGTAGTATAGTCCCTTCTCTTCCCTTTCCTCCCCAAGCCCCACCAAAAAAAGAAAAAAGACACTCAACAAAGAAACTTGAATATCTTGATACTACTCTGCTTTTCTTCTTTGAAATCTTTGGCACATCCACTGGTAATAAAGTTAGTTAAATTTAAGAGATATTTTAATTCAAATTAACCATAAATGTTTATGAATTGGTTGTGAGTTGGGTGACAACATCTTCACATGAATAGAACGGTATCATGGTCCCTCCTTATCTTAACTGGTCCTGAGTTTCTTCAAATTTGGTCCATATCTATTCTCTGCCTTTTGCTCTTTTAAAATTAAAATATGTAATGAAGTGAGAGACTTTAAATATATTTAATTTTAAATTTACCGAAAATATTTTGTATTTTTTATTTTATATTTTCACATCAGAACAGCCAAATTCCTCTCCTCTCTCTATGGGTAAATTTCATGTCTACATTTGTAAGATTATTAGTTTATATTTTCAACACAAACATCAACAACTAATTAAACCAAAAATATTATATTTCTTACAGCAACTTAAGTTACACATTAAGAACTAGTACACGTTTAGTTTTTTAAAAAAATAATGGCCTAGTTTTACATTTTTAAAATTATTTTTTGCCTAAAAAAATTGTTACATAGAACTCTTATTCTTGTTATTGTGCATGGTCTGGCGTCTATCTGTTAGTTTATTTTTCTGTTGACGACTGAAAAATCTCTGAGATGTCATATACAGTTAATTGAAATTATTTATCAACCTTTCAATGGTACGTGATTTTCTTTGAATAAGGTCTTATGATCAAACTTTGTATATAGAAAAAAAAATCATTAAAATAACGAACTTTATCACAATGTGAATGTTTTATCTTGAATAGAATCATATTTTATGGAAGATATTTTATTCTTGATTCTATTACTGTAGACAATTAGTCTGTTAAAAATGTTTATCTCAACCAATAGTTAGATATTAGCTTGCTTTAGACATAAAAATTAAGAGAATAAATTTTATTTCTTCTAACAAAACTTTTTATATACACACATTTAAAAATTAAATCCCAATTAATAATACTGAAGGAACTTATACTAAATATTTTAAAATATATATTTCAAATAAATTTTAACTAATTGGAAAATTTATCGTATCAAAATCACACTCATTCTTTAATAACCCATTAATCATCCCTTATTTGACCGTCAAAAACAAACCTACCTTACTATATTATTTAGTTACACAGGACAACCCACAGAATCTCCAAACAACAACTTGTCAACCTAAATCTTGTTCGCTAAAAGTTATCATATTTGAGCTCCTTTCAAATATTTAATTCAATTATTGGAACTCAAACTTGAGATATTTGGTCTAAACTTTCACTAAAAATAATCTTATTTAAAGCAGAAGAAACCACTTTAATTTATATATGAAAGTCCTCATTCCAAAAATTTAACACACCTACGTTGTTGAAACTCGAAATCACTAGAACAAATTCTATCATTTGTTGGATAAACTATAAATTGTATATATCATAAATATTGCACTATATTGACATGTGAAAATTTACAAAATCAGATTAAAAAAACCAAACACACCGTTCTATATAAGATAAACCAATCACACAGAGACACAGGCCACGTAGTCCCAAAGGAAGTGCATCATCTCTCTCTCTCTGTCTCTCTCTCTCACCTCGGAAGAAAGGTTCTTTTCTCAGCCATGCGTCCACCGCGGAAAAGGGTGGATTTTGGAAGAGGAGACAAAGTTGAAGTATGCAGCAAAGAAGAGGGTTTTATAGGTTCCTATTACGAGGCGACGGTCGTGTCCCACCTAGACAACGGTCTTTATGTCGTACGCTACGATACCCTTCTTCAAGACGATGAGTCTCAACCCTTAACAGAAACCCTTTTCCCGAAAGAGCTTCGTCCTTCACCGCCACGTGTCCAAGTTTCCCACTTCTCTCTCTACCAGTGCGTGGATGCCTTCGACAACGATGGCTGGTGGGTGGGTCAGATCACCGGCAAAAGAGGGTCATCCCACTATTACGTTTACTTCGCTACCACCAATGAAGAGATTGCGTACCCTTCTTCTAAGATCAGGCTTCATCACGAGTGGCTTCAGGGCGAATGGGTCTTGTCCAATTCCTGATCATTTTCGTTTTCTTGGGGGTTTCATTTAGTCATGTCATTCAGATTGCCCTCTAATTCATCATCATCATGTTCTGTTATCACTAGCTTTGTAATGTTTGCTCCTTGTTCCGATGTGTAATTGTGTTCACAATTCCCTATAGCAATCCTTTTAATCCAATGCTTCCACTACAATTGTCTTTCTTTTTTATGTTTTCTTGGCTATTTTTCTTTTATTGGGTTTCTGAATTACAGGTAGAGATGGAAAAACCAGGGGCTGGGGGAGTGGGTAGCGGTTTCTTGAAAAATTAAACAAAACAAGTGAGTTAGTGATGTTTGTTTTTGTATAGTTGTTGGCATGGACATGATTATCCAATGGTTTGTGTCAAAATTACCATTCGTCATTTGGTAACCCTCTTTTTCTTGATGGGTCTTTCAAAAGGGTATTATGGTAATATACAATTCTGTCTAAAACAATTGGGCTAAAACATGTACACTACTACTTCGATAGTTTTAGATTACTTCAATGACACGACCAATTAAAAAGATTGTATTCAATAAATACAAAGTGTTTACTTTGAAAACTAATAATTAAATCCCTCCATGCCTAAATTATTTTCTCAAACTTAATTGTCTAATATTTTATTAATTTCTAGTTATCACAATAAATATTTAAAATGTTTCAGCTTATGTCTGATTATGTAATAAAGCAAGTAAAACACATTTTTTTTAATAAAAACTAATTCATAAATGAATGTTAATTATAAAGATTAAATCTATATTTTAATCAAAAATATTATTTCGATCATGGTCACGTTATATGTTACCGTGGTGATGGTTGCTTATGCTTTCGCTTCTAGTTAAAAATAAAAGGCGAAAAATGATAGCCCCGGGAAAAACAATATCCAATGTTTTCAACGAAATATTATTATCACAAGTTCACAACATTCTGCACCGATTAACAATGCATAGCATTTGTTCATTTGGATTTTTTTTTCGAATGTAATTTTATGGTTTACACACACACACAACCCCTTATCAAATTAAATTTTTTACTTATAATTATTATTTTGGTTTAAAATAAAAATGCAAAATAAATTCTGATCACTAATTAATATTTTAAAATTAATACTAACGGATGTTAATTTAAGTGATAAATGATTCGATACACGTGACCTATGTCAGATTTAGATTAAACTGAAAAATTAAAAAAAATATTCTGAAATTAGTAATTTAATTTATTTAATTTTTATTTAAAAATTAAAAAAATATCATACATATTAAGTATTATACTTTTTCCGAAATGAGATATTTTGCAAACAGTGATTGACAATTTATGTGGAAGCTTAATAGACACACAACACCATTACTACTATCTCTTCTATCACTTATTCTGTGCCTTCACTGCTATGCAAACAAACCTAGCACAGAACAAAAAATGGCAATTGTGAACAACATTTGTGTGAGTTGTGCAGCCACACCAATGTCACCAGAGTCTTCAGGTTCTGCACCTTTGCCAGACCCAAAGCAAACCAAAATTATCCTTCCCAAGAAGAAGCCTATGAAATGGTCCACTGGGGTGGCGCCTGGGGATTACGGTGGCCCACCCACCACCACCAAGCTCCGAAAGTATTGGGGGGGCCAGGATGAAGACCCTTTGGCCTCTGATGACTTTATGTGGAACAAAGACTTTGTGGGTCGCTTCAAAAAGTTGATTCAGGAACCTCAACCACCCCTTCAACCCTCTCCTCCAAAGGTCTCAACTTTGATTCAGTGGCCATTTGGTTGCTTCTCTTTAACTTCTGATGTTGTGTTCGTGTCTTTTTTTATGTTGGAATTTTGGATTGGTATTGTAATTGTGGTGATTGCGTTGTGTTTGTGGGTTTTACTTGATTGTTGTGTTTTAATAAAATCAATATGGTGGTACTTGTGTGAATTTCTAAGTATTGAATTTTGTGTTTGTAAAATGATCTTCATTTGTGTACTCAATCCCAATCCTAATCAACACTGTTAGATAGACACTTGGACTGTTCCTTGGCCTAACAGGCCCTATGTTTTCCACAGAAGATCAACTTGATTTCTTCTTGTGCATTGTCTATGTATTCTCCAATGTTTTACTCCTATTTGTAACAAACAATAATGTTATCTGAATTTATTTAGTCTATGATAACTAGATAATTATCGGTATCCATTGTAATTTTGTAAGGGATATCGATGTGGTCAACCATTGTTGGTGCCTCATCTTACTTGGATATCCAACCCTTTTGAGTAACATATTGGGACCGTGTGAGCAAAGCAATGCAAGGAACTTAACCAAGTTTTTCTAAAGTTTACACAATCATTTGTTGAGTGTCCTTATTTGCGTGGTTTTACATAATGAGACTAGGTGTGAGGAAAGGAAACTGTAACATTGCGTGATTCAGTATTTTGTATAAATGGAAATGAAATTATCTAAGGTGGTTTTAATTCATATGATCATTATTATGTGGAGCTTCATTATATTGTTGAGTGGGAAAATTTACTCACAATAAAAATGTCCATCAAATGCTTAATAATTTATATTATACACAATTCTGGGTGTGGTAGAAGAGTTTGGAGAAAAATTATTTTGTTAAGCATTGGTTTCTTTCTTGTGACTACTTCACTCCAATTTTTGCATAGGAATCAGAATGATACAACACAATATTAGGTTTCTAAGATGCTCTACTTTTCATTCTCCGCTGTGTCAAGAAATTAATGGACTTGGTTTCCAATATCATATAGTGGCATCATTGGATTTATGCCCCCACCTAATGAAAAAAAGGCTGTGGTTGTTGTTGTGGTGACTTAAGAAATTTTTGGCAAATCATTCTAGATTAATTAAATTTACCTGTTTCTGTCAGTTGGTTCTGACATAAATAAAGTTCCTGTCAACAGGAAGAGCCTTCGGGATTTCTAAGTTTAAATAGAGTCATGAGCCTGGACAGGTCTTCTTCTACCATGTTTATATTAAAATCTTCAAATTTAATTGCAATATTCACTTGACATTTGTTCTTTCTTTATCTATAAAGTTATTTGAATTATGAACTGTAGTTTGGAAGTTGATTTGAGCAAAGAACTCTCAGCTCCTGCAAATAATAATGTACACCAGCAAATTGAGGCAAAAACTGATGTAAGAGATTTGTCTCGTCTCCTGATTTTTCCCTGATCACTATATGTCATGGATTTGATGATTTATGATATATCTCCAGTATTGTAATATTCTTTCTCTATTTACTTATATTAAAAAAAAAAACGTATATCCTTTCCACATGATTCATTTCTCTTTACGCCAACTGGAATGATAATCAGGTGACTGAAACTGCAAGCAATAGGGTAAAATGGAAATTGGTACCAACACGCCGTGAACAAGAAAAATGGGATAGAGCTGCCAAGGCTGCTACTGGAGGCAGTGTAAGTAATGTTTTACTGTATCACATTAACTCCTTACCATTAAGGTCTAGTATTTAACTTTTAACTTGAAATATTTCCTGCTTTTGTAACCTAGGAGAACTTAATATTTACTGCTGTAAGACCTAGAGCGCAATCAATGGAATACTGTTGAACCCCAAACAGAGACTTGACAGCTTATGTATCTTTATTAAGATTTAGAAGCTGATTTTTACTATTTAAAGATCTGATTTAGACTAGCTATAGGATGTGATGTTCCAAGAAATAAGGCGGTCTCGTGAAGATCCCAAAGTTTTAGCTGCTCAATCTGAGGAGCAGTATGCTAAGGTACTGAACAACATTTCTTGTTATTATTTCTTTGTTAGAGATCATATGAATATTATCCTCTTCTATTTTGGCATTGATCAAATGTCAAATGTTAATTATGTTCCTAAACTTAGTTTTTGGTTTTCAGTTAAAGAGGAAGTTACAATTCCTTACATTGGGTATAGGTGGCATTGGTCTGGTTTCAGCTTATGTTTCTTATTCTCCTGAGATTGCAGCTAGGTACTTAAATTTTTCATGCACGTATTTACTTAGTTATTCTGAATTGGAGATATTCCTCATTCATTCCCATCTTTCACCTATGCTATTAAATATGGTTCAATTGTGAGCCAAAAATCAGCTTAGCACACACAACTACCATCAAGTAAACATACTCAAACAGAGATATAAACTGAAAACTTCTTGACACATTGGATATGACATTATTCTAGACTATTTAAACTAATTGGTTTAAACATTCATCCATAATTTTATTAAAACATTTCTCCTTTTGAATTACAAAATGTCCATACTTTTCAACTAGTCTTTATTAATGTGTTTGGGGAATTTAAGTTGGATAGATAAATAAAGGTTTTTTAAAGGATAGAAACAATATGGAGGGAAAGAAAGGATGGTAAGATTTTTTCATTTGAAAACTAAATGAGGAATGAAATGGGAATACATCTCTATTGTGTTTTATTAGAATTTAAAGAGATGGGAAAGGAATGAAAATAATTTATTTTTTAGAAACAATTATTCTTTCCCTTACTTCATCCCAATGCATAAAGAAATGGGTTTTACTCCCAAGGAAAGAAATTGAATTAATAAGTCCTCTCCATTCTCGTTCCTTACTAAAAGTTAACTCATCATTGTCCATTTGCCTCTGAAACATAATATGTCTTTGCAAACCACCCCTCCCCCCATATCCCATAACATTAGTGTCCTTCAGAAGAAAGTTTTAAGTTTTACTTGTGTTTTTCTTTTTCTTTTTTTTAATGTATACTTTTCTTTCATGTATCCAGCTTTGGTGCTGGCTTGCTTGGTTCTTTGATGTACATTCGTATGCTGGGAAGTAGTGTGGACTCGCTAAAAACTGATGGTGCAAAGGGCCTCGTCAAGTAATCTATAGATGCTAGATTTACTATTCAGAATTTATTTTCTTTAATAGATAAGCATGAGCTAACACCATGATTATTTGATTAGTCCAATTTGATGTTTCTTATTTTTCATAAGATTCCAAAATTATTTTTTCCATTAACCATTACAATAAGGCGGTTAAAGAAAGGTAGAAAGATTCGGCCATGATCTATTTTGTTTCATTTTTTTTCACCTTGTTTTTTGTTATAGACAAAACAGCAGCTCATTGATTATTACTTTCAGGGGAGCAATTGGGCAGCCAAGATTACTTGTTCCTGTTGCTTTAGTGATGATTTATAACCGTTGGAATGCGTAAGTTCTCTTTTGATATGCAATTGGAATGATTATTATTTGTCAATTATGAAGCTCAGATATTCCAAAAATGGCAAAGTATCAGTGTTGTATCTGTATCTGATGAGTGACGTGTATGATACTCCTAGATATGTATGCAAGGAATATTCTCTAATTTTATCTGTTTTTCTAAAAAATTTTAACTGTGTTAGGGATACAGCTCCGATACTTTATTAACTGTGTTTGGGAACGATTTGTATGTATGATTTTCTTATTATGATCAGAGTTTTTTTAGTTACGTATTAATAAGAAATGATCAATATTTCTTTATGAATATTGTGCATTTATATAAAGTGTGAGAGTGAGTGAGTGTGTATGTACATGTAAGTATATATTTAAATTTATGTTAGAGGATCTAAACCATATCATATCTAAGAATTTCCTATATCCCCATTTCGTATCATATTGTAATTATCTTGATCTTTTCTTTAGGGATGTCAAGTATAGGTTTTTTCTTGCTTCTGTTTTTGTGCTTCTCGTATCTATTTCTTCTTATTTTGGAGAATTTTTATTTATTTTTTTGTCAAATTTTTTAGAGAACTTTTGAAAAGAAAAAAGTGATTATTTCATGGGAAATAAGCTTTCCCAAACATTTTGATTGAGGTGTATATATTAATGTTAGATGAGATATCCAAATACATTAATGTCTGGGTGATGTTGATTGGATCCAATCTATGCCAATGACTACTAGATCTAATTGCACTTCTTTCTTCTCTTTCAAGGTTGAGGTGAATGTACCCTAGGACATTTGTATTTGTTCAAGAACCTATCTTAGTTGATCTAAACTACTGGTTTAAACCCTGTGTTTTTACTGCCTAACAGGGCTGTTTTGTTGCAGGATTCTCGTTCCAGAATTTGGATCTATGCACTTGGAATTAATTCCAATGCTAGTGGGGTTTTTCACATACAAAATTGCAACTTTTGCTCAAGCTGTAGAGGATGCTATTACCGTAGCTGCAAAAAAGACCTAAATTTCAGTGGGGGAAAAGTATACCCTCATTAGTTTTGGGTATTCTTTCCCTCATTGTCAACATATTAATTGTATTTATGCTTACCGATATTAGAATTATTGATTATTGATTTCCAGATATTTGACCTACTTCCCTTTAGATTATGGTAAAGCCCTCTGTCCCACATTAATCAATTTTCTCATATTAAGGATCTCAATTAGATCTCAATTACACACAAATTACTTGGGGCTCAATTTAACTTCATGAGTAATCTTCACTCATTTGTTGACGAGGCGAAGTCAAGTTTTGTTGTGTTTGAACTGTTAACGTGTGTGCTGATTAAGTTTTAAAAAAATATGTTCAGCTTTTTAAGTCAACTCGTTTTCCCCTTTAGTTTCGCATCCCCCTTAAAAACTGTCTATTTGTGTCCTTGTGTGTAACATGAAACAGAGTGAGCGGGATTATCGAGACACGTTATGTGAGAGCAAAAATTTTCCAGTTTGTAAATATTTCGTGAAAAAGGTTATCCAATCAAAGCCCTAAATTAATTTGGTGACCATTTTCTTCATAAACTTGTTTGGACTACTATGCTTCACCCATTGGTAAATCTCCCAAGCTTTGTTGTTAGATAATGACAATTTTAACTTAAATAACAATTTGTCAGCTTCTTATATTATTAAGCTATATCCTTCCATCTTTTCTTACCAAATCTTATATTAGCTTCATTCCTAGTTATCTCTCTAAAGAGCAAAATTACACAAACGGAAAATTTTAATCATTGTCAGAATTAAATGTTAACTTAATAATTTACCCTTTATCAATAGGATTCCTTTTGACTCTTGAATTACTAAAATAAAATAAATATTTTAAATGGACACAAAGGCATAAGTGAAAAAATAGTCATTAGTAATGTATTGAACTTTTCTACATGGATAGATAAACAAAAACAATTGCTTTCTTCAACAGATAAATAGAAAAGGAGATTTATTATCTAGTCAAGTTTGCGTAATTAGATTGAGTATAAAAACTGTTTAATAATGACGACACCTCTATTTCATTCTAAAACCTTTCTTCGGAAAAACAACTAATAAAAATGAAAGTGCATGAATATGAATACATTGATTTATGAATGTACTATATGCATAATGTCAACATTCATGACCCTCTTTCATGCCTTCCATGTTCACTCTCCACCCGAAGGAAAAGTAGATTACTCTTGTGAAATATCCAAAGCTTGTGTGCAAGAAGAGTTTAGAAGCCATGACAGAAAACACAAGCTTGATTCTATGGCTAATCTCCACCCTAGGGAGATGGTTTCAGTTTGATCTTATAGACCAATGAACATTGTGTGTAACGGAGTGGAATATAACACAATAGAACAATTCTTCTACTATGTATTTTTATGGTTTCACTTGCACCTTCAGTGGAACTTTTGAACTTTGTCATGTTTTGTTATCTTATTAAATGCACCAAACAAAATAAAATTCATATATGTTAAGTTCTTTGTCATTTTAGCTTGTCTATCAAACACTATCACATGAGAAATTAAGAAAATGAGAGCTAAATTAAACTTGATCGTTGAGGGTACCAAATGACAAATTATTGGTGCTAATCTAGCAGAAACAGGTTCATGGCTTTGGAAAATATTCAAATGAGTATTTTCATTCACAGTGTTCTTCACTTTAGGACAACACACTGGCACACACACATACACACAAACGAACTTCACTCAAGGCCAACCTGCCACCTGCTGCATGTTGGTGAAACTCAGACATGTATCCTATGTGACACAAGTTGAGAGCATCGAGAAAAAAAAAACGATACCTCATTGGCCCATCAATTTTATAATTTTAAGACACACTAATCCCTATGAGAATAAATATAAGAAAAACACAAGATCAAACAGCAGAAGATAATGCAGTTGAAATCCTTGCCATAAGCCAAATCCTGTTTTATTGTATGATAATATAGAGTAATTGTTATTTAATGCTAGTCCACATCTATAGTAGACAGCAGAGGTTACAATGCAAGTATCCAAAGCCACAACATTACATTGTATGGGAAAACGAACACGGCAATGGCAGATTAACCAGTGTTTTGCATGCCGGCAGCAATACCCTTCATTGTCAAAATAAGGGTATCCTCCAGACCAGGAGCATAATCACTTGTAGGGTTGAGTTTTACAAGCTCATCTGCTGGCTTGCTTGATTCCATGTATTCTTCTTTGGACAAATGTGGCCTCAACTTCACATGGTAGTCAGGATCACGGATTCGCTTCAATGTGTAGGCTTGCAAGACATTGAGGGTCGTGATGTATGAATCACGAAGGCGAAGTCTTTGCTTTAAGTAGGGGTCTCCTTCCAGGAGATCTCTGTGTCCAGCAACCTACAAGCATAATTTACAGGGTCATTAACATACCAAGATAAAAATTAAGAGTCATTTTCTATTTCAACACACTGAAAAACTTGTATACGTGAGTCGAAAGGTTATAACTTACAGTAGTGAAGTAAACATAGATCCATGCTCATTCAAATATGAATCCATACATGCTATACTAGATTACCTGGAGGAGAAGGCTCTTGGTTTCTTCATATTTAGACCTTAAACGCTCTCCAAACGGCCACAGTTCCTCTGACACGAGGAGTTTGTCATAAAGGGCAGTAATCCCAGGGTCTCCCTTGGCAAACACCATCTCAACCAAGTCAAGGGTGACCCTGAAGAAAGGCCATTGGTTATACATGTCTTGAAGCATTTGGAGATTCTTTGGATCCTTCTCAATTACATGCCTAAATGCCGCCCCAAAGCCAAGCCATACAGGCAGATGAAATCTTGTTTGAGTCCAAGCAAAGATCCAGGGAATTGCACGGAGTGATTCAATTCCTCCACTTGGCTTTCTTTTTGATGGACGGCTGCCAATGTTCATTCTTCCATATTCCAACTCAGGAGTTGCCTGCAGTTTGCCATATTCAAATATAAAGGAAAGAAAAATAATGTAACCCAAAAGACTAAGTTCTAACGTAATAATATTTTCATTGGATTGTGGTGTCTTAATTGGAAACATTATTAATGCATTTTGAATAGCCAAATTAACTAAATTTTCATTTTTGTAAGCATACCACATAAACTGCAAGATTTTCAAAGACATCTTTCTGCGCTGAAGTAAACAGTACTTACACATCTGAAGTATTCAACGAAACGAGGTTCCTGGAAAACAACAGAGCGATATTCCTTTGTTGCAATGACAGCCATCTCATCCATGAGGGCACGCCATTCTGGTTTTGGCGACACAGGAGGGTGCATTCCATGCTCAAGTGTAGCAGCTGTGAAACGCTGAAGTGTTCTGAAGCACAAGTGTGCCTCTCCAAATGACTGTTCAATAACTTCACCTTGCACTGTTACCCGAAGTGAGCCATGAATAGTATCTGGTGGTTGGGATAATATAGCAAGATGAGTGGGACCTCCTCCTCTTCCCACAGTCCCTCCTCTGCCATGGAACATTGTAAGTTTAACCCCAAAGTCCTTTGCAACCTGTATGAGCTCTTCTTGAGCCTTGTACAGTGCCCAAGCTGCAGAGAGACGACCAGCATCTTTTCCTGAGTCTGAGTATCCTATCATAACTTCTTGTTTCCCATTGATACGGTTTCTGTACCAATCAATAGAGAACAGTCGAGCTACCGCAGCAGGAGCAGCCTCAAGATCAGCAAGCTTTTCAAACAATGGGACAACCCTTAATGGCTGCTTCACATGGCATTCACGTTGTAAAAGTTCTACAGCAAGCACATCAGATGGGGCCGTTGCCATTGAGATGATATAGGCCCCAAAATTATCTGAAGGAAGTTCTGCAATGACATGGAAGGTTTCCAAAACATCAGTAATTTCTTCTGTTTTAGGAAGATCAGGGCCAAAGAGAGGGCGCTTTCCACTGAGTTCAGACAGCAGCCATTCCTGCCTGCGTTCCTCAGACCATTCTCGATAAGATCCAATCTCCAGGTGGTTTGTAATCGCATCCATAACATCAGTGTGCTTATCTGACTCTTGACGGATATCAAGTCTCACAAGTGAAAGCCCAAATGTTGAAACTTGCCGTAAGAAATCAAGAAGGCTTCCATCAGCTATTGGTTGATCACCACATGCACACAGTGACCTATAACATAATTCAAGAGGCTCCAGGAACTACATGGGAAAAAATGGTGGTTAAAGAGTTTTAATATAATTTATTAAATCATTACATAATTTTTGCGAACCATTTAATATAATCTCATGCCATGCATTAGGTATTGCCTTTTCTGAGTTGTAGGTTTAATGCTGTCTGAATAAAATTGGTAATTACAGAGTTGAGAGCATTGTTGCCAACTTGAACAAATATTCCTTAAAATTATTGGCAATACACAATTCTCCTAGCAGTTTGAAAACTATTCCTCTTCAAACTTTTCAAAGGATCAGCCAATAAGCACTAGAGAAACTAAAACCAACCAAACCTAAAATATGTCAGTATTCCCATAATCAAGAAGTGAAACCATCTTCAAGGATGGGAAACCCAGCACTGCTACTGACATTCATCAAGGAATGAATCCTACATATGGCATGGCTGAAGAAAACCACCTAGATATTGTGTTAAAAGTGGAACATAACATAAAGGCAAACAGGCAAGCAATCCAATGAGTCACTTCAAGGCACTTGCCTTAAATGTGAAACTGTTCAATTATCTGTATCTCACAACAGTTTATCAGGCTATTTTGAGGATAATACCTGTTCAACATTTGTGAAGGTAGTCTCTTCAGGGATTTCAGAACTCCCATTGGCTAATAACTGCCGAGCATGTTCTCGTGTATTATAAAGTTTGTCCCTTACATCACCAAGAATAACGCGATATGGCTCATTTGGAGGAATCTGTTTCCAAAACTCTGCAGCAATGAATTTATTACAATAATATTCAACAAGTTTGAGACACTATCACAACTACAACTCAGAAGTTTAGAGAGTTCAGTAGTGAAAATGGAATTAGTTGAGTTCTACATTGTACATTCCAGTAAGGAATTTAAAAATTTATATAATTCTGAAAAAAAAAAAAATCCTTGTAGCATAGTACATACCAATATAATGTTTTGCATCTCTCTTTAAGGAGCTATGGAGTTCTTCAGCATGAACCCGTAGCTCATCATTGCAGCGCCACATAGATAACTGCCAGCAGCAGACAAGAAGCAAGATGGTAAAACAGTAACCTCAATGGTAAAATAGAATAAATGATCAATAATGATCAGCATATTTGATACCTCAAACATGAGATCCTCAATCTGAGAGAAGTACAAATTAGCAGCCATCATTCTAGCCAGCAAACACACATCCCTTGTAACTTCAGGAGTTACCCTGGGGTTGCCTACAACACACATTAGACAAATTATAAGATGGGCTATTAACTAATTAGTACATTACAAGGCACACTCTTATGGAAGCCTTCAACACTGACTATGATCTCGTCCAATGTAGACAGTGAACTGAATAAAGAAAATATGAGGAATCAAGGATATGGAGCACAAATTTATAGCGCATAAATACTTTGGCCTAAAAAGTTTGGAAGTTAACAAAGATAAAGCTACTTAAAGAGCGTCATGCCCACTCATTAACTGTTTAGGAAAAGGAAATATACCATCGCGATCTCCTCCCATCCAAGAAGAGAATTGAATAAGTGGGGCATTATATGGGACCCGTTCATTTATTCCAATGTTCTTCAGAGCTGTGTCAACCCGGCGCAAAAACTTTGGTACACCTTTCCAGATAGTCTCATGAAAGTAGCTCATTCCTGCCCTCATCTCATCTTGTGGGGTAGGAGGAGTCCTTCGAATTTCATCTGTACGAAATGCAGCTTGAATCTGCATGAGAGAAATGTCATTAGGGCCTTAGCCATACCACAAAGATCTCCATAGAGTCACACAATTTTAACCACCAATTCAGAGCCACAATAAACCAAGTTTCTTCTTAAAGAAGAATGTTAATAGAATTCAAATCCAATTGGAAACTAGGTAGGAGAGGAAATTCAAATGGAACAGCCAAATCCATAAAAGTAGAGCTTTCCAACTCAAAGGCTGAATTATAATAAGAAATATTTATACTATTAAAAACTGAGAATAACTTGGTTCCCGGTCATTAATGGCATCATATAAGTATATAGAGTTAAGAACAATCAACAGTTAGGTACCTCCCTTTGTAAAGCCTCATCAAGCTCCTGCTTATCATCTGGCGTTATGTCTTTAGCATACAACTGTGTCAAACAATCCCTTATCCTGCAATTTAAAAAAGGGGCAGTTATTATCAACAAAAAGATTAAAGCTTTTTTAGGAAGAAACTGCCAAAATGCCCAAAATCCCGGATTTCAGAGCAATGTCATTGTCATTGAGATAATAAACTGACTATCAGAGCTCCTCATCTGGGCTATATTTTACAACAATGAAAAATTGAAAATTGAGATAAGTAACGGACATACCTGCCATGCTTTTGCAGCAAAGATCTACGAACAGACTGAGTAGGATGAGCAGTTAGGACCAAATCTACAGTTTGGCACTTCAAAGCATCAAAGACTTCTTGAGCAGTTTTCTTCAGTTGATTAACAAGCCTCTTGAAGGTCTCTTCGATATCTGACTCAGTGATAGCAGAATTCTCGTCAGCAAAATCACCCTTCTTTAACAGCTTAATCCTTCTTCTATATGCAATTTGAACTTCTTCAGCCAAGTTGGCCAAATTAAGCATGTGAGAAAATGACTTTGAAATCACAATAGAATCCCCAGCATCAAGACCAGTTAGCATGTTCCCAAGTTCCTCCAACTTTTGGGGGTTATTCTCCCCTTCATACTCAGCGGAAAGCTCATAACAGTCTTGAACCTAGTCAACATCAAATCACACAAAGAAACTAATAAGACACATAGTGAAATTAAAAGAAGACTTGATTTGACCATATACAGAAACTTTTTAACTCAAAATTTGAAGGATCAAAATCAGAACAAACACAATTCAGGACCCACCAGACTACACACATACCCCAGACAATTTTTCCCTCTTTTTTTTTTTTTTCTTCACCAAATGACAAACTCCAAAACCAAAACGTTCACCATTTCACCAAACCCGAAGCGGGGTTTCAGAAAACCGTCAAAGCTAAGCTAAAGTTCCCATCTTTACGCTTATCAATTCGAAAAATCGAAGTGGGGTATCAGAAGCCGACCAACACCAAGTCAAAAACAGCATCATTTTCATGACCCACACAACTAAAACTCACAAAAAAAAAAAAATTAAATTAAATCATATTGATGACAATTACCGTTTCTCTGATATCATCCCCATGCAAATCCTGAAGAATGTCAAGGAAACGGTCGAGCAACAAAGCATCATATTCAACAAGCTTGTCATCATCAGAAACCTTACTCGGTGCCAGCAACCTTAACTGAGCATCAATTGAAGCCATCTTCTCAAGGTTCTTATTACTGTTAGTAGTCATCCCCTCTCACACTTTGTTTTCTCACTCTCTCACTGAAAAGTAAATAATAATAATCTGACACTGAAAAAGGGTGTGCTATGTATGTGTGTATTGAAATGGAATGGCCTCAGACTGAAAATCCGAAGAATTAAGCTAACAAAGGATAAAATGAAAAGGGTGAAAGAGAAATCTGGTGATGAAGAAGATCTCGTAGGTTGGAAGCTAATAGTTTACTATGATCTCTGCACGGAAAAGTACAGAGAAAAGTGAAGAACTTGAAGGATCGCCACAGACAGAGTGAGTGATTGAGAGTGAGAGAGATGATTTTGAAAGAGCAGAGTATCCTAATTTATAGAGACAAGACACTGATTACCATTTTTTTTTTTTTTTTTTGAAGAAAAATATGTATATCAATGTTAAGATGCGTTACCATTGTGATTGGAAAATGTTCCATGAAGGAGAAAAACAGGTTAAAAATAATATTTTTTTATTATAAAAGAAATTGTTAATTAGATTTAAAAAATATAATAAAATAATTTTTTAATATTAAAATATTATTTTTAATATTTAAATTTATTGCATTAAATGCAATGCATTTAATGTATTAATGCTTTATAATTTACAATTTTTTTAAAAGTAATGTATTAATGATTTATAATTTACAACTTTTTAAAAAGTAATTTATTTATTATTTTATGTTACACAAATTTAAAAATCAAATTATTTAATATTTATTTATTTACTGTAAAATTTTAGTTAACAAAATATTTAATAAAAAATATATTTATTCATTTAATAGAAAGCGCGTTAGAAACGGTCACTTTTTTCAACACACAAATTTTTTAAGTTAAAATTTAGTATTTTTAAATGCTTGAATTTAATATAAAAGATTGTAATTAAAAAAAATTTATAAATAATGTTAGAGTAGAATATAAATTTATGATATTTAACTGTTTTTATTAATTTTGATAAACAAATTTTTATATTATATATAAATATATATATTGAAAAAAATGAAAGATATATATATATATATATATATATAATTTAATTAAGTACTAGATTCTAACAAAATTTATAAAATTTAAAATTTTTTATAATATTTTAAATATATTAGGTAACATAAAATGTTAGTTTTTATTAGACCACATATATTAGAGGACTAAAAAAATAGTTTATAACAAAATAAAGACTATAAATATGTTTGTTTGAATTTTTAAAGAGTTTTAAAATATATATATATATATTATTTTTTTTATTTTATTTTTTTAAAAGAGAAAATTCTTTTTAAAAATACGAATAAACATGTTTTATATCTTAATAAAAAATTATAAAAATTTATTTTTAATGTACAATTTTTATAAAATTAACTTTAATTAACTCATAAATTAAATTTATATATTTCAAAAATTACTTTATCAACATTTTTAAATTTATTTTATATAATAAATTAGAAAACTCATTCTTTAAAATTAATTTTTTAAATCTTTATTTTATTTTTTATTATTTATGTATCTTTTCATATATTTAGTACTTAATTTCTTTCTAGTTACTTTTTATTCTTTTTAATATTGTTTATTTAAATTTTGATGCTTTTATCAAATTAAAGATATATTTCTTTCTATGTAAAATAAATTTTATAATTATTATAATATAAATCAAATTCTTTTACACACTATATCAATAAAGATAAAAAAAAAATGAATGTAATCTTAATTTAAATTTTAATATAACAAAAATAAATAAAGTAAGGTATAAAAAACCAAATAAATAAAAATGATAAAAAACACTTTTAGTTAATAATAATAAAATGTTTAAAATATGTAACACAAAAAAAATATCAGCGGCTATTCATTTTAACTATTTTATTAAACAGTGTTTCTTTTATTAAATAAGCTTTTAGCTTTAGAAAATAGGTTTTCAGTTAATTTGAATGTTCTATCAACCAGACTCTATAAGTATTACAATTGTTAGATGCAATCAAATCAATTACTTCATCGTATATATTTTTATAGAATCACCTCGTATTATAGAAAATAAATACTATGTTAATTACTATTTTAAGTACATTAACTAAAAATGAATAAATAAAATAATTTTTTACATTAAAAATGTTAGAAAAAATTACATTTAAAACATATTGAAAAATACAATAAATATGTATTAATAATGAATTATAATAAAATTATGTAATTTTCAATTTACCGACTTGTATATATAAATTATGAATCTTAAATTTTAAATGAAAATACTTTTAGAAGAATGTTTCAAGAATTGATTTTTTTAATTATCTCACATTCTTTATTCAATAACCATTTAACACTTTTAAATTATTTTATTTTATTTTTATTTTATAAAATTATATTTTTAATTTTATCTTATTTAATATAATGAATTATTTATTACTAACAATTAAAATAATCACCCTTTTAAAAATATAATATTTTTATTTAAAAATTATATTAAATTTAATAATACTCACACAATATTAAAAAAAAAAAAACTCACTAGTGATCTTGAAAATAATTATTAGTATTAGTCAGAATGAAAAAAAGCCTACAATCTTACGTGTTGTATCTTTAATGCACCTTAATTTATCGTAATTCAAATTTAAAATTATTGTAATATAGATTTGTACGAAAAATATATTTTAGAAAACTTGTTTTTTAAAAACTGTGATTGGAAGGCTTTTTTTATATTTTTTTAATTATAAAATTGTGGATTTTTTAATTAAATTACAAAAATATTAATTTTTTTTATTTAAATCACCAAAGACTTTTAACTGCTTTTTAAATATTTAATTATTATTTTAAAAATCATTATTGAAAACTTTATTTTTAAAAAATTTAATATTTAAAAAAAAAACATTCATTGACAGATACTTTATGATATTTTATTTTTTATTTTTGAATTTATGTATTTATACCAAAAGTTGTTATTTGACGATTTCTAAATTTTATATTTTAAAAATTATCATATTTTTATATAATTTTTTCTAAATATGGTGTATATAAAAAATAATCCTAATTAAAACATTAGTTTATTTTATTTTTAATTATTTTCACCGTAAAGATTCGGTCGGTGTCAGTACTCAGTATACCAGATATGCAGCCTCCACGTGTTAAAAAGTCATCGTTGAATCATTGATCTGACTTGCTCACTCGTATTTTTAAAATTTATCACTTTTAAAAATAGATATAAATTAAAAAAATTATTGATATTATTTAAATTATTAATTTTTTAAAATAAAAAAATAACGATGTTATTAAGAATAATAAAAATTAAATTCTAAAAAATATTATTTATTATTAAATATCTTTTAATAAATTTTTAAAAGTTCTTTTAATTTTTTCATTAGACTAAAAATTATGTAATTTACTGACTTTTATATATAATTAAAATAAATTAAATGTTTTTTAATTATAAAATTTTCTCAAATATTTTTACATATATAATTATTTTTTTATAATTATTCATTCATTTTAATATTATTTTTTTCTATTATTTTTTGAAGTTTAATGTTCATTATTATATAAAATAATTAATCATTTAGCATAATAATAAATTTTTATTTATAACTCAATAAGTATTTATGAACATACAAAATCTAATAGTTTTTTTCTTTAATCCTTAGTTTTTATTTTATGAATAAAAATCTTATTTTATTTTTTTAACCAGTACCAAAATTTTGATACTTGTCATATAATACTTGTTTCTAATTTTAACTTTTAACATGTAATTTTTATTTTTTTATTTTTTTATAAGATTATAATAAATACACTCTATTACTTTTATGCAACTAATTGTTTACAAAAAAACATGTATTTAAGAATATTTTTTATATATTGTTATAATAACATGTCAATTTAGCTTAAATAAAAAAGAACTAAATATTTTTTAGAAAATTAAAAAATATAAATAATAACAATATTTAGTATTGATTTAAATTTAAAAAAGCAAATAATTTTTATAATTAATTAATTAAGATAAGAAGATATATCCTAATTAATACACTATTTCTTGTTACTTTATATATATATATATATATATATATATATAAAAGTAATGCTAACTTATTATTTATTAAAAAATACAAAATTTGTATTATTATATTTTTATTCTTAAATTAATATTTTATATATATATATATTTTTAATTAGTAATAAAAAGTATGTTAGAAAGAGTGGTTAACATTTTATTTAATATAACACAGTAATCAATGACATTAATTTTACATAAAATTTCTTCTAGTCTATTATAAAATAAAAATATTACAAAAAAAATTTTAGAATAATTTACTGATTACACAAGTATGTGATAAACAATTTTATTATATTTGATAATCAATGTTGACTATATCGATGGGAAAACTGTGAAACGTCAATATGACTTCATTGTTTTCTTCTAATTTTATCAAATAATCCAATCAGTTTATCATTAATTTTTCTTAACCACAATAATTAAGAAACCCACTAATCAGACATTTCTATTTCTCAGCGAGCATATGGGGTCTTCATGAATGAGACGTTGAGAACTATCATTTCACATAATTAATTAATTTCATTCTCCCTTTTTTTCATTTTTTTTAAAGATTATTTTCATTACTTCTTTATCTGAATAATTCTAAATTATTCTATTCCTTGTTTCTATAAAATCTTTTAATTATTAAATAGAAATATTTAATGTATTTAATAAAATAACAAATAAACATTTCCATTTAATACTTATTTTATTTTAAAATTATTAAAACATAAGAAAGCTCAATTTAAATGGTCTCCCTCACCAAAAAGAGGTGTATCACAGTTATTGTAGTTACAACGTTTCGAAGTCAAGGTCTATCAACATCTATTGGAATACTACGTATTATAACAGTTAAAGTTAAGGACCAAATTTTTTGTCCACGTACGTAAAGTAATTTTTATTTCTGTTCATATACAAAATAAATTATGTTATAAAATTGAAATAAATATATATAATGAAAATAATTTAAAACATATTATGTATAATAATAAAAATAATAGATATAATATTATAAAAAATTAACGAAAATTGATCTAAGTGATAAACGACTTAATATTATTTAAATAAAATTTTAGATTTGAATCCTTGTGTATGTAAAAAAATATTTAAAGTAAACTCATTTATCACGTTCAAATACATGATTTGGGTTGAATCTGAATTAAATCAGATAAGAAACTAAAAAAAAGAGAATTATATTAATAAAAATTATTGTAATACTTAATAATTTTTATTTATTAATACTTTTTAAAAATTTGACATACTTAAGAAATACAAATATTTATTACTTATGCCAAACTTTATTGATATTAAAGTTAATATATTTTTTTTAAAAGAATATGAAAGTTAATATTTAATATTATAGTTATTAATCAACTTAATACGATTTGTCACATAA